CGGGTAATATTTAGTGAAGGGATTCAGGGAAACCGGTTATTTTATATAGCCGGACTTGAGTCCTGGAAATGAGAAGCACAATGCCTGCACTTTAAAGGAGGGGCTTGGGATATTGGCAGTTTGGAGGGATATGTTGTGTATCTTTATACATATATACTTCTAAACTGTTGTATTCTGGGCACCTCTGCAAAAATAGTGATTATGTGCAAGTGGGGTGAAAGTGTTGAATGATCATGAAAGTATTTTCTTTTCGGGGATTTCCTTACTTTTTGGGTCACCCTGCCTCGGTGCGAGACAGCCAACTTGTTAAAAAAAAAATATATAATAATAAATTTCTACAAGGACATGTACAAAGTGTACATGCCTAGCTCACATCAATGACATACTACTACATATATAGAAAACCCCTTGTTATGCAGAGCATTTCAGACAAATTAGGTCATTTTGTCCCAGGGTGCAACCCACACTAGCTGACTAACACCCAGGTACCCATTTTACTGATGGATGAACATGGACAGCACATGTCTTATGGAAACGTATCCTAATGTTTTCCAGCCGTACTGGGGGTTCAATCCCCAGACCTCAGTGTGTGAGCCAAGTGCACTAGCGATCGAGCTACCATGGTCACTAATTAGGTTTAAGGGTCTGTAGATTATATAAGATTAGCTTTCATGGCCTTCAAGAAATTTGCCAGATTCAGTGTCCATCCTTTCCTCCTGTATATCATTTCTAATGCAACAGTCTAAATTCTCCTTCTTACATAGCAACTCTGCCCACTTTCCTGTAGACTGTCAGTGTGGAATAATTTATACCCCTGTATGTGGACATATCCCTGTTTTTCAGAACGAGTCACGTCTCTTATTGTGATATCTACACCAGTAAGCTTCCTTCACTTGCAATTAGTTTTAGTTATTTACTATATTTCTTATGGTACAGCTATTTCTAAAGCAGATGATAAAGAAGTTTTTGTTGTTATTTTGCTCTCTTTGTAAACTAATTACCTTGTATTTACCAGCAACTATGGTATGAGCTATTCTTGCTAATGCATTCCGAACACATCTTTGAAAATTTTGGCTCTCTTTGCCCCTAGTACTGCAACCCCTTCATTTCCCACACATACCCATACCTCTCAACCTCTTCATATTCCACACATACCCATACCTCAAAGTTCTATCAGTATATACAGTCTTACAAATTTAGCAATGGCTCCTTTGACTGAATTGACTAATGCTTCCACTACTGCCCTTGAAAGGTGCACCCCATTCCTTGTATTTCCCATGGTTATAGGTGAATAAAAATTCAACTTCCCTGTCTGGTCAGCAATTAACACCAATTACCTGAGACATCCATTCACTGCCCACTGCCCTTCTAGGCAAAATGCTGAAAGTGGTTGGGATCCCTTCCTTTGATTTATTAATTCAGTAGCTACCTTATACTTGTCCAGGAACTCTTTCCTACATTTGCCATCACTGCCTTCCTCAATGAAGCAAATAGTGGGGTAATTCCTATTACATGACATGATTTTATCTAACCTTTTAACTACATCACCCATAACTGTGCCTACACCACCCACAACTGTGCCAGGAAAACACTGTCTTGTCATCTTATCCCCATTACAGAACACTTAATCACCATATTTAATAATCTGCGAGTCTACAACAACAATTGTCCATTCTGATCACATATTGGGGTATTGTACTGTAAATCATACTGAATATGCAATAGCCTATGTACAGCAGTACTGTCATGCCAAATGAATATGAAATAAAAATCAGTAATTGTTTTACACAATGGTAGGATAGCTGGTGTCTCTTGTCTCAAACATGCAAGATAATAGATACATTTTGCTCAGAAACTGTAAGGCTGGAGATGATGTCCTGGTAGTCAGTAAATGGGGGGCTGATAGTGCTGTCCTGGGAGACAGTAATGGGGAAGCTGGAGGTGCTGTCCTGGGAGACAGTAATGGTGAAGCTGGAGGTGCTGTCCTGGGAGACAGTAATGGTGAAGCTGGAGATGCTGTCCTGGGAGACAGTAATGGGGAAGCTGGAGATGCTGTCCTGGGAGACAGTAATGGTGAAGCTGGAGATTTTGTCCAGGTAGTCGGGAACTATATGCAGGAAGGAATTACATATGAATGACCGCATAGGGGACAGGAGCCATAGTAGGGAAACAAGTGTAGTCAAAGATAAGATAAAACCAATATTGCAAACTAGAAATACCGCAGGAAATAGCAAACAAGAGGACTCCACTAGCAATAGTGAGGATATATTACCAAAAACAAATGGTGGGAGCTCCATTGTTGGTGCTAGGGAGGATAGAAGTAAGACAGGGAAACATGCACCAACAGGGAATACAGTCACAGAAACCCAAGGCAAACGGAAACCAAGCCTGTGCACATACTATGCACTCGGTATCTGCTGGCATGGGAAATCTGGAAAAACAGATGGGACGTGCAACTATGACCACCCTAGGAAATGCCATGCCCATATGACAACAGGAAAATGCAAAACTCCCTTCCTGTAAGCTTTTTCACCCTGAACTGTGTACCTCTTCAGTACAGGAAAGACTGTGCTATAACTTAAATTGCCAGGCATACCATCTAAAGGGGACAAAAAGATACAAAACATCCAGGCCATGGGAAAACCTGGGTAGCCACAGCCACTCAAGAGGGAGAGGTTTTTTAGTGCCAGGAAGGAAAAAAAACTGGCAGGAAATGGCAGAAATCGTACACCAAATCCAGTCATTCCTGGAGTGGAACCACAGTCGATGGCCTCCACTCCAAACCAACAGATACAGATACTAATGCCGGAAAAAAAATCCCCCCCCAGTACCAACAATACCACCAGTCCGATAACATTCTTCTTTGCAAATATACAGGGTCTAAAGCCAGCAACAAACAACAAAATACCTTTCATCCGTGGACATGCTTGCAGAGGCAAAGGCAATGTTCGCGGCTTTCACTGAGACCCACATAAAGGATCACTTAGACAACGAAATATGGATCCCAGGTTACAACCTATACAGATGTGACAGAGTGAACAGGCAAAAGGGGGGGGTTGGCCTGTACATTGCAGAGTCACTTGTTTGCACAGAACTGCTAAATGCCTCAAATGATGTAGTGGAAGTTTTAGCAGTAAAGGTCGAGAACCAAAACCTAGTCATTGTGATAGTCTACAAGCCTCCGGATGCAACATCCCAGCAATTCCAGGAACAGCTGTTAAAAATTGACCACTGTCTGGAAAACCTTCCAGCTCCTGCACCCAACATCTTGCTCCTGGGGGATTTCAACTTAAGGCACCTAAAATGGAGGAATATAGCAAATAATATTGTTGCAGTAATAACACCAGGAGGCAGCTCTGATGAAAACTCACCACTCACGCGAGCTTTTAAATCTCTGCACAAAATTCAATTTAAACCAGCAAATAATAGAGCCTACTAGACTGGAGAATACACTAGACCTAGAGGGACTAGTACCAAACTTGCACACGAAAATCACTCACTACGAAAGCAAAAGACTTGGCAGACGATGCACATCCCCCCAATGAAAAGCAGGGGTGTCACTAGCACGTTAAGAGACCATACAATAAGTGTCAGGGGCCCGAGACTGTTCAACTGCCTCCCAGCACACATAAGGGGGATTACCAACAGACCCCTGGCAGTCTTCAAGCTGGCACTGGACAAGCACCTAAAGACAGTTCCTGATCAGCCGGGCTGTGGCTCGTACGTTGGTTTGCGTGCAGCCAGCAGCAACAGCCTGGTTGATCAGGCGCTGATCCACCAGGAGGCCTGGTCACAGACCGGGCCGCGGGGGCGTTGACCCCCGAAACTCTCTCCAGGTAAACTCCAGGTAAACTCTCCAGACCTCATCTTCACTAACAATGATGATCTGATAAGAAATATCACCATATCAAAAACAATATACTCAGATCACAACATAATTGAGGTTCAGTCATGTATGCGCGGAGCCCCAGACCGACATAATGAGATTAGTCACGAGGGAGCATTCACCAAATTCAACTTCAATAACAAAAACATAAAGTGGGACCAAGTAAACCAAGTCCTAACCGATATAAGCTGGGAAGATATACTAAGCAACACAGACCCCAACTTATGCCTAGAACAGATTAACTCGGTAGCACTCGATGTATGCACAAGGCTTATTCCTCTAAGAAAAAGGAGGAGTAGATGTAAAACAGAAAGAGACAGGCGCTCCCTTTACAGGCGACGAAAAGAATAACAGAGCGGCTAAAAGAGGTCAATATATCTGAAATGCGTAGGGAGACAATGGTCAGAGAAATAGCAAGCATCGAACTTAAGCTAAAGAATCCTTTAGGAGTCAGGAATCGCGGGAAGAACTAAAAGCCATAAATGAAATCGAAAGAAACCCAAAGTATTTCTTCTCCTATGCCAAATCAAAATCGAGAACAACGTCCAGTAATTGGGCCCCTACTTAAACAAGATGGGTCCTACACAGATGACAACAAGGAAATGAGTGAGCTACTCAAGTCCCAATATGACTCAGTTTTTAGCAAGCCGCTAACCAGACTGAGAGTCGAAGATCAAAATGAATTTTTTATGAGAGAGCCACAAAATTTGATTAACACAAGCCTATCCGATGTTATCCTGACGCCAAATGACTTCGAACAGGCGATAAATGACATGCCCATGCACTCTGCCCCAGGGCCAGACTCATGGAACTCTGTGTTCATCAAGAACTGCAAGAAGCCCCTATCACGAGCCTTTTCCATCCTATGGAGAGGGAGCAATGGACACGGGGTCGTCCCACAGTTACTAAAAACAACAGACATAGCCCCACTCCACAAGGGGGCAGTAAAGCAACAGCAAAGAACTACAGACCAATAGCACTAACATCCCATATCATAAAAATCTTTGAAAGGGTCCTAAGAAGCAGATCACCACGCATCTAGAAACCCATCAGTTACACAAACCCAGGGCAACATGGGTTTAGAACAGGTGCTCCTGTCTGTCTCAACTATTGGACCACTACGACAAGGTCCTAAATGCACTAGAAGACAAAAAGAATGCAGATGTAATATATACAGACTTTGCAAAAGCCTTCGACAAGTGTGACCATGGCGTAATAGCGCACAAAATGCGTGCTAAAGGAATAACAGGAAAAGTCGGTCGATGGATCTATAATTTCCTCACTAACAGAACACAGAGAGTAGTCGTCAACAGAGTAAAGTCCGAGGCAGCTACGTGAAAAGCTCTGTTCCACAAGGCACAGTACTCGCTCCCATCTTGTTCCTCATCCTTATATCCGACATAGACAAGGATGTCAGCCACAGCACCGTGTCTTCCTTTGCAGATGACACCCGAATCTGCATGACAGTGTCTTCCATTGCAGACACTGCAAAGCTCCAGGCAGACATCAACCAAATCTTTCAGTGGGCTGCAGAAAACAATATGAAGTTCAACGATGAGAAATTTCAATTACTCAGATATGGTAAACATGAGGAAATTAAATCTTCATCAGAGTACAAAACAAATTCTGGCCACAAAATAGAGCGAAACACCAACGTCAAAGACCTGGGAGTGATCATGTCGGAGGATCTCACCTTCAAGGACCATAACATTGTATCATCGCATCTGCTAGAAAAATGACAGGATGGATAATGAGAACTTCAAAACTAGGGAGGCCAAGCCCATGATGACACTCTTCAGGTCACTTGTTTCTATCTAGGCTGGAATATTGCTGCACACTAACAGCACCTTTCAAGGCAGGTGAAATTGCACGACCTAGAAAATGTACAGAGAACTTTCACGGCGCGCATAACGGAGATAAAACACCTCAATTATTGGGAGCGCTTGAGGTTCCTAAACCTGTATTCCCTGGAACGCAGGAGGGAGAGATACATGATTATATACACCTGGAAAATCCTAGAGGGACTAGTACCGAAACTTGCACACGAAAATCACCCACTACGAAAGCAAAAGACTTGGCAGACGATGCACCATCCCCCCAATGAAAGCAGGGGTGTCACTAGCACGTTAAGAGACCATACAATAAGTGTCAGGGGCCCGAGACTGTTCAACTGCCTCCCAGCACACATAAGGGGGATTACCAACAGACCCCTGGCAGTCTTCAAGCTGGCACTGGACAAGCACCTAAAGTCAGTTCCGGATCAGCCGGGCTGTGGCTCGTATGTTGGTTTGCGTGCAGCCAGCAGCAACAGCCTGGTTGATCAGGCTCTGATCCACCAGGAGGCCTGGTCTCAGACCGGGCCGCGGGGGCGTTGACCCCCGGAACTCTCTCCAGGTAAACTCCAGGTAAACTACTTACACTTAGGCCACACTACATATGCATGTATACACACCCATTTCAGTTTTCTTCTATTTTCTTATTAGTCCTTATTAGTTCCTTTCATCTCTATAGGGAAGTGAAAAAAAAATCCTCTCTCTGTAAGCCATGCATGTTGTAAGAGGAGACTAAAATGCTGAGAGAAGGGGGTCAATAACTCCTCCTCCTGTATAAATTACTAAATATAAATAGAAAACTTTTTCTTCTTTTCAGCTTACCCTGCCTCAGTGGGAGGAGGCTGTAGTGTTCAAAAAAATACTGCAAAGCTTGCCGAAGGTATTTTTCGCAATAAGAATGTACTAATGCATCAGTGTTCAATTGAAATACAGTACTACTGTATGTCACAAAACATAATATTAATGCCCTCTGAGAATCGCTAATCACAAATCTTTTCGGAGTCCTGACTACAGCATGACATACTATTAGTAAAAAAAAAAAAAAAAAAAAAAAAAAAAAAAAAAAAAAAAAAAAAAAAAAAAAAAAAAAAAAAAAAAACTGGATACAAAGCCATTCATAACCAAAGATCAGGAAGGTAGGGCAGTAATCTATTATAAAAACAAGACAAACTGTATGAAGTTAACATGCATTTACAAGCACAACTCTTCAGACTAGTTTCAGTTGGACTAATACTATACAGAATTCCACACATCAACAACTTAAATACCAACCTCAAAGAATTGAGTATGAACTATACATTAAACAAAAAATCATCCTCACACTTACTGCAATTGAAAAATTAACCTCAGTCAAGCAAACACTGAAGTTGCAAGCCTCTGCAATGTACTCTAGCTTTCTGATGTTTTCCATTAACCAAACCAACTAGAATTATTGAGATATGCATTTTTGTTTTTTTTCCAAGACCAAATATGAATCAATACACCCACAAAAAGCAAGGATAATCCACGACTGCCTACAACCCTACATTTGTATGGGTTTTTCCCATGTAAGAAAGCTTTGTATCAAATGTATCTTATAGAGAAATAATTAATATTACCAAAGTAACAAAGTACATACTGTAAATGGTATGGTGATACTGACAAGATGTGTAGAAAAACACTTAAGATAAGCAGTTTTAGCATATAACATTAACTGGGATTCAAACACTAACTCAAGTGTGATCATCTTGAATAAAATTAGAAACCTCTATTTATACACATTATCCACTAAAACTTGAACAAATCAACAAAAAAATAAATAAAGAACCTGTGGCTGACTAAAAACAAACTAAGATTCATTGAAAAAAAAATAAGGCAAAGAAAATAGTCATAAAAGAATCCTGTACACTTATCAATTTCATTAATACATCTAATAGATTTACCATAGTGGATCTAATAGATAGAGTGAAAAATGGATATAAAGATCTGGAAAATTAATTCTTGGGTTAAAATACAATAATTTATACTTCAAAGAAAATTAAGCTCCCAACTCGGCTACTGAAAACCAAACTCAGTGGAAATAAGTCACATTGACTTTCTTGGGTTATCCTAAGTAATCGACAAATATGCTGCTATGGATGATAATTTGTGTGTACCTATACCCAAATAAACTTACTAACAACTTCCCAAACCTAACCACCCCAATGGAAATAAGTCACTGACTTTTTTGGGTTATCCTAGGTTCTCTACACATATGCTATGTATGATAATTCTATGTAACTGTATTTGTGTATACCTGAATAAACTTACTTACACCCCTTTGAACCCCTCTATTCAAAAATATAAAAACACACACCCTGACGTCTATGCCTCATACCTATGCATCAAAGTTGTCTTACTAGCAACTACCTAAATTCCAGTCATTTTTAAACTCACTAAAACTGTTATCAAATTTAAATATCTCAATAATATTCAACTCTATATGAATATACTATCAGTTACTGCAACATATCTGAAAATTTTTGTGGACTGCCTCCAAGTGAGTCGCCTACCCTGGCAAACTCTGTTGACACCGAGCTCTGAGATGGGTACCTCAGCCTCACAAGTGGCTTATAGGACAGATTTTCACAAATGATTGTTGTTGCAAGAAACTCGCCTGCATGCACGTATAAAGGACTAACTTACTTGGTGTTGCAGCATATATCCTGATCTTCAACTTCCCTAAGCTTAGCCTTAGCCCCTTTGGACTTCCCCTCAGAAACCACGTGCAACCGGGAGCCTTAATTCCTGCAATATTCAATCGTTATTAGTGACCTACCTGCACCTCAGAAATTCCTATATCCAAGAGGGTGTGTATCCCCTAGTACAACTATGCAGACACGGACACTAGCTTCCAGACTGCCTTGAGACACTGGTACTTACTGGGCATGCTCTGCCAGCTGCAACACAGGCCCACAGATCAAACTCACTCACAATTCTCCCCAGACACTGGCCAGAAATCTACGAGATAAAGTGGAGGTCTTGTCTTACTGTATGGGCCTGACGGAGGTCATCTACGGTACATCGAGGTACCAGATTTCCCCAAGTCTCAAATGTGAAGACACGTGGGGGGAGCCGTCAGCTGATCACGGCACGTCTTGTCCAGTTGGTGTCTGTCTTAAGAAGAACGAGCTGGTCTCCCTTCCAGACCCTCGTCTCTTCGTTCAAACTAGGGCTGCCAGTTCTCCCTAGCTAACTTATCCTAGGGTTTGCCTACATTATCGGCCTATTACTGCCTATGTTAAGATCTTAGGTCTACATTATTATTATCTACAGTTGCCTTAGTAAACCTAATATTAATATACTAACAGTAAAACTACCTACTCCTTCCCTGAAGGGTAAATCTAAAAATAAGTAAGTGCCTACCATCAATCGCCAACCCGGGTAGAGAAATGTGTTTATTTGGGAGGGTTTAAGGGCCACCCAGCTCAGCCATTCCATTACGGCTATGCTGGATCTGTCCTGTGGAACTTTAGGTACCAAATAAGTTTCCACAATATCTCGCCCAAAAAATTCCCAGACATTAGCTAGGATAACACTCATCCACAAAGATGGATGCCACTGATACACTACCAATCCTATGGTAAATCTTAGGAAATATTACACAAGCAAGAAGGGTGTCTTAAAGTTTACTAAACCTGGTTTATTTATCCTAGAATAACCCATGAAAGTCAGTGTGACTTACTTTTACTGGGTACTTTTGGACTACCCAGTGGCCCGGTGGCCTGGTGGCTAAAGCTCCCGCTTCACACACGGAGGGCCAGGGTTCGATTCCCGGCGGGTGGAAACATTTCGACACGTTTCCTTACACCTGTTGTCCTGTTCACCTAGCAGCATATAGGTACCTGGGTGTTAGTCGACTGGTGTGGGTCGCATCCTGGGGGACAAGATTAAGGACCCCAATGGAAATAAGTTAGACAGTCCTCGATGACGCACTGACTTTCTTGGGTTATCCTGGGTGGCTAACCCTCCGGGGTTAAAAATCCGAACGAAATCTTATCTCTCTCTCTTATCTTATTAAGCTAGGTGAACAATGGTAGGTATAAGAAGACTTACCCATACATCTCACTTTGTTCAGAATTGACCGTGGATATGTAGATGAATGCTCTGCCACATAGCCAGGTCTCTCCTGCAGAATATAACAAAGTCAGTCTATCAGGTATCAGGCATCAAAAATAATAATAAATGTATAATAAATACCTTCTTAGAGGCCATATAATCTTTTTATTATTATAATCATGGGGGAGTTCTCTCTTCTAAAATCTTGCCGCGGGTTCAAATCCCACCCGTGGTATGGTTTGTTTGCAATCGTGTCATTACGATTTCGTGAGCCATAAAAAGAGCATCGATGCTCTCTACTACCCACCACTCATCAATGACAAGCTTTATTTCTATAAAATGGAGTACAGTATATTATCCAGAAAAAGGTCATTTCTGACCTACCAAATGCATCCCAAAGTTCCCAACAATGCTACATAAATATACCAAACTGGTCACTTCACATCAAGACCCAGTTGTCATTAAAAGTTATCTTAATTGGGAGCGCTCAACCCATAGGTGTCCCGGTGGCCTGGTGGCTAAAACTCCCGCTTCCCACACGGAGGGCCCGGGTTTGATTCCCGGTGGGTGGAAACCATTTCGACACGTTTCCTTACACCTATTGTCCTGTTCACCTAGCAGCAAATAGGTACCTGTGGGTCGCATCCTGGGGGACAAGATTAAGGACCCCAATGGAAATAATTTAGACAGTCCTCGATGACGCACTGACTTTCTTGGGTTATCCTGGGTGGCTAACCCTCCGAGGTTAAAAATCCGAACGAAATCTTATCTTATCTTATCTAGGAGTCATGCAGCACCTGGGAGGGATTCAAGCCTGATCCAAGGAAGAGGAACACAGGTCCAATTCCTTGGATTAAAAGCCCCCTCACTAGCTTCAAGAAACCTCCCATGAGGAGGGACATAGTAAATGCTACATGCATTTCAGTTGCTGCACCATCTGTCAAAAACAGCCCCATATTATATTACATTTTCATTTTTATATAACTTTTTCTTGCTATTTACATTTAAGAGGGTGAAGAAGTATATGATGAAGAAGAGGATGTATAAGCTTGCCGGGTCACCAACTGGACAAGACCTGGGCCAGGTCAGTACCGGTGAACCTCATCCAATCCAAATGTATAAACTAAAAATAAATCTTGGGTGAAAGTAAAGCGAGGTAGGGGTGGCCCTGGGAAGGGGGGTAAAGGAGATTTTGAGTGCTGGGGCTTGAGCATCCAGCAGGCTTGTGCATCCACCAGGAGGCCTGGTCACAGACCGGGCCGCGGGGGCGTTGACCCCCGGAACTCTCTCCAGGTCCAGGTAAACGTTAGGTTAGGTAAGGTTCGTCAGGGTCTTAGTCATATGATGACTCGCCGCTGAAGCTTTCGGTCATCTGACCGAGACCTTTCGCGGGAAGAACTAAAAACCATAAATGAAATCGAAAGAAACCCAAAGTATTTCTTCTCCTATGCCAAATCAAAGTCGAGAACAACGTCCAGTATTGGGCCCCTACTTAAACAAGATGGGTCCTACACAGATGACAGCAAGAAAATGAATGAGCTACTCAAGTCCCAATATGACTCAGTTTTTAGCAAGCCGCTAACCAGACTGGAGTCGAAGATCAAAATGAATTTTTTATGAGAGAGCCACAGAATTTGGTTAACACAAGCCTATCTGATGTTATCCTGACGCCAAATGACTTCGAACAGGCGATAAATGACATGCCCATGCACTCTGCCCCAGGGCCAGACTCATGGAACTCCGTGTTCATCAAGAACTGCAAGAAGCCCCTATCACTAGCTTTTACCATCCTATGGAGAGGGAGCATGGACACGGGGGTCGTCCCACAGTTACTAAAAACAACAGACATAGCCCCACTCCACAAAGGGAGTAGTAAAGCAACAGCAAAGAACTACAGACCGATAGCACTAACATCCCATATCATAAAAATCTTTGAAAGGGTCCTAAGAAGCAAGATCACCACCCATCTAGAAACCCATCAATTACACAACCCAGGGCAACGTGGGTTTAGAACAGGTCGCTCCTGTCTGTCTCAACTATTGGATCACTACGACAAGGTCCTAGATGCACTAGAAGACAAAAAGAATGCAGATGTAATACATACAGACTTTGCAAAAGCCTTCGACAAGTGTGACCATGGCGTAATAGCGCACAAAATGCGTGCTAAAGGAATAACGGGAAAAGTCGGTCAATGGATCTATAATTTCCTCACTAACAGAACACAGAGTAGTCGTCAACAGAGTAAAGTCCGAGGCAGCTACGGTGAAAAGCTCTGTTCCACAAGGCACAGTACTTGCTCCCATCTTGTTCCTCATCCTCATATCTGACATAGACAAGGATGTCAGCCACAGCCGGAAAAAAAATCCCCCCCCAGTACCAACAATACCACCAGTCCGATAACATTCTTCTTTGCAAATATACAGGGTCTAAAGCCAGCAACAAACAACAAAATACCTTTCATCCGTGGACTGCTTGCAGAGGCAAAGGCAATGTTCGCGGCTTTCACTGAGACCCACATAAAGGATCACTTGGACAACGAAATATGGATCCCAGGTTACAACCTATACAGATGTGACAGAGTGAACAGGAAAAAGGGGGGGGGTTGGCCTGTACATTGCAGAGTCACTTGTTTGCACAGAACTGCTTAATGCCTCAAATGACGTAGTGGAAGTTTTAGCAGTAAAGGTCGAGAACCAAAACCTAGTCATTGTGGTAGTCTACAAGCCTCCGGATGCAACATCCCAGCAATTCCAGGAACAGCTGTTAAAAATTGACCACTGTCTGGAAAATCTTCCAGCTCCTGCACCCAACATCTTGCTCCTGGGGGATTTCAACTTAAGGCACCTAAAATGGAGGAATATAGCAAATAATATTGTTGCAGTAATAACACCAGGAGGCAGCTCTGATGAAAACTCACACTCACACGAGCTTTTAAATCTCTGCACAAAATTCAATTTAAACCAGCAAATAATAGAGCCTACTAGACTGGAGAATTTCACTAGACCTCATATTCACTAACAATGATGATCTGATAAGAAATGTCACCATATCAAAAACAATATACTCAGATCACAACATAATTGAGGTTCAGACATGTATGCGTGGAGCCCAGACCGACAAAATGAGACTAGTCACGAGGGGGCATTCACCAAATTCAACTTCAATAACAAAAACAAAGTGGGACCAAGTAAACCAAGTCCTAACCGATATAAGCTGGGAAGATTAACTAAGCAACACAGACCCAAACTTATGCCTAGAACAGATTAACTCGGTGGCACTCGATGTATGCACAAGGCTTATTCCTCTAAGAAAAAGGAAGAGTAGATGTAAAATAGAAAGAGACAGGCGCTCCCTTTACAGGCGACGGAAAAGAATAACAGAGCGGCTAAAAGAGGTCAATATATCTGAAATGCCCAGGGAGACACTGGTCAGAGAAATAGCAAGCATCGAACTTAAGCTAAAAGAATCCTTTAGGAGTCAGGAATCGCGGGAAGAACTAAAAGCTATAAATGAAATCGAAAGAAACCCAAAGTATTTCTTCTCCTATGCCAAATCAAAATCGAGAACAACGCCCAGTATTGGGCCCCTACTTAAACAAGATGGGTCCTACACAGATGACAGCAAGGAAATGAGTGAGCTACTCAAGTCCCATATGATCTCAGTTTTTAGCAAGCCGCTAACCAGACTGAGAGTCGAAGATCAAAATGAATTTTTTATGAGAGAGCCACAAAATTTGATTAACACAAGCTATCGATGTTATCCTGACGCCAAATGACTTCGAACAGGCGATATAATGACATGCCCATGCACTCTGCCCAGGGCCAGACTCATGGAACTCTGTGTTCATCAAGAACTGCAAGAAGCCCCTATCACGAGCCTTTTCCATCCTATGGAGAGGGGAGCATGGGACACGGGGGTCGTCCCTCAGTTACTAAAAACAACAGACATAGCCCCACTCCACAAAGGGGGCAGTAAAGCAACAGCAAAGAACTACAGACCAATAGCACTAACATCCCATATCATAAAAATCTTTGAAAGGGTCCTAAGAAGCAAGATCACCACCATCTAGAACCCATCAGTTACCAACCCAGGGCAACTTGGGTTTAGAACAGGTGCTCCTGTCTGTCTCAATACTGGATCACTACGACAAGGTCCTAAATGCACTAGAAGACAAAAGAATGCAGATGTAATATATACAGACTTTGCAAAAGCCTTCGACAAGTGTGACCATGGCGTAATAGCGCACAAAATGCGCGCTAAAGGAATAACAGGAAAGTCGGTCGATGGATCTATAATTTCCTCATTAACAGAACACAGAGAGTAGTCGTCAACAGAGTAAAGTCCGAGGCAGCTACGGTGAAAAGCTCTGTTCCACAAGCACGTACTAGCTCCCATCTTGTTCCTCATCCTCATATCCGACAGACAAGATGTCAGCCACAGCACCGTGTCTTCCTTTGCAGATGACACCCGAATCTCCATGACAGTGTCTTCCATTGCAGACACTGCAAGGCTCCAGGCGGACATCAACCAAATCTTTCAGTGGGCTGCAGAAAACAATATGAAGTTCAACGATGAGAAATTTCAATTACTCAGATATGGTAAACATGAGGAATTAAATCTTCATCAGAGTACAAAACAATTCTGGCCACAAAATAGAGCGAAACACCGTCAAAGACCTGGGAGTGATTATGTCGGAGGATCTCACCTTCAAGGACCATAACATTGTATCAATCGCATCTGCTAGAAAAATGACAGGATGGATAATGAGAACCTTCAAAACTAGGGATGCCAAGCCCATGATGACACTCTTCAGGTCACTTGTTCTATCTAGGCTGGAATATTGCTGCCACACAAACAGCACCTTTCAAGGCAGGTGAAATTGCTGACCTAGAAAATGTACAGAGAACCTTCACGGCGTGCTAACGGAGATGAAACACTCAATTACTGGAGTGCTTGAGGTTCCTGAACCTGTATTCCCTGGAAGCAGGCGGGAGAGATACATGATTATATACACCTGGAAAATCCAGAGGGACTAGTACCGAACTTGCACAGGAAAATCACTCACTACGAAAGCAAAAGACTGGCAGACGATGCAACATCCCCCAATGAAAGCAAGGGTGTCACTAGCACGTTAAGAGACCATACAATAAGTGTCAGGGGCCCGAGATTGTTCAACTGCCTCCCAGCATACATAAGGGGGATTACCAACAGACCCCTGGCAGTCTTCAAGCTGGCACTGGACAAGCACCTAAAGTCGGTTCCTGACCAGCCGGGCTGTGGCTCGTACGTTGGTTTGCGTGCAGCCAGCAGTAACAGCCTGGTTGATCAGGCTCTGATCCACCAGGAGGCCTGGTCACAGACCGGGCCGCGGGGGCGTTGACCCCCGGAACTCTCTCCAGGTAATACATCTACCATTTTTTTCTCTTACTTATCACACATTTTGTGTGCTATTACATGATCGCACTCGTCGAAGGCTTTCTTAAAGGCTGCAGTTTGTTTGTCCTCCAGAGCATCCAAGACCATGTCATAGTGGTCTAGTAGTTGCGAAAGGCAGGAGCGATCTGCTCTAAACCCATGCTGCCCTGGGCTGTGCAACTGATGGGTATCTAAGTAGCTGGTGATCTTGCTTCTTAGAATCCTTTCGAGATTTTTATGATGTGGGACGTTAGTGCCACTTCTTTGTAATTGTTTTACTGTCACCTTTGTTGAATGGGGCTAAGTCTGTTGCTTTTAGTGACTGGAATGACCCCTATGTCTATGCCCCCTCTCCATAGAATATTTAAGGCATAAGAAAAGGGTTACTTTCAGTTCTTGATGAACACGGAGTTCCACGAGTCTGGGCCTGGGGCAGAGTGCATGGGCATGCCATTCAGTGTTTTTTCAAAGTCCTGTGGTGTTAGGATTATATCAGAAATTCTTGAATTAACCAAATTTTGAGTCTCGGTCATAAAAATTTCATTTAGATTGTCGACCCTTAGTCTGATTAACGGCTCACTAAATGCGTAGTCATATTGGGACTTCGGTGTCTCACTCATTTCTTTGCTGTCTTCCGTGTAAGTCCCAACTCGTTTAAGCAGAGGCGGAATACTGGATATGGTTTTTGCCCTAGATTTGGGATATTTCATTTATGGGTTTTTCTTCCTGTGTTTCTTGGCTCCTGTGTGATTCCTTAAGTTCGATATTTTGTTTCTTTGGCCAGTGCCTCCTTTCGTATTTCAGATATAGTTTGAAGAGAGATGTAAGTTACAGGAGATATAGTGTGTGAATAGACACATGGCCACACGAACACCATCTTCAGCGCCCAAAAATCAAACTATTTACGGATGTGACACGTCCAAACAAACCAAGGAACTAGCATACATAATTTTTAGCCATAAAATATCTTAAATCTTAAACTGCATCCACATTTTGCATCACCTAATTTAGGGATGGGATGATTATTTTTTGCCGTTACTGACTCAATTTTAGGTCGACACCGATACCATCAAAATTAACCGATACCTACATTTGGCACATCCCCAACCTAAACAATCCGCAACTACAAGAGATTATCTATGAAACAATCTCATATATTAACAGAAGGTTTACAGGGTATTACCTGAATTATTACCTGCAAGTAATTTGGGTGAGGTAAGTGGGGGGGGAGCAGATAATTAACTATAGAACGAGACTGATATAGCATCTCTAAATAAAATTAGCTCAGATTTTCTAAAAAAACTAAACTCAGACTAGCAATTCTATACGATTAACAATTTTATCAAAAATATTTCTAAATTCGCTTTCTGCAACATTGCAAGCTCCTGGTGTGTTGACTGCAACACGAAAGGCCTAGAGCTATCATTCAACTCTCCCTGTGGTTATTTTACATCTTTCATCGCTCGTTCGCGATTATTGCATACACACATATAAACTGGCATAATTCAGCCATTAGTTTACAAATTACAATACATACGACATACGTACACTGTGTTATTTTGGGAAATATTAGTAAAAATAGCATACATTTTGGTTGCACAGCGAGTGTCAATTAATCAAGTTAACATCCAGTCGTCACTCGCCTGACCCAGCATAAACCAAGACGCATATCTACCCATAACGAAATTGACCTTAAATTATTTCAGGTTGGGTCAGGTCCGTTTCGTTATGATTTTTTACCCCTTTTTTAACATTTGCACAATAAAACAATACCTCCGCTGTAAAACCAATTAATATTGTAAAACTTGAATTATAATTAATGGCCGAAATCCGCCGGGGATGTTGCTTGCTGTTACTAAAACCTGTAAGAATCCTCGGGGGATGAGAAGCAAGCTGGTGACATTCAAAGAAGAGAAAGTCAGGTTCAGTTCCTTAAATCAAGAAGATAAGATAAAATTTCGTTCGAATTTTTAACCCCGGAGGGTTAGCCACTCAGGATAACCCAAGAAAGTCAGTGTGTCATCGAGGACTGTAACTTATTTCCATTGTGGTCCTCAATCTTGTCCCCCAGGATGCCACCCACACCAGTCGGCTAACACCCAGGTACCTATTTGCTGCTAGGTGAACAGGACAACAGGTGTATGGAAACGCGTCAAAATGTTTCCACCTGCCGTAAATCGAACCCGGGCCCTCAGTGTATGAAGCCGCCATTAAAAATTATGGTTAAGGTCGTATCCATTTTTTGTACTAGCATTAATTAAAAAGAGATATATCCATAACCATAATTTTTAAAGGGGTGGATCACTAAGCTAAGTGGAAGTCCTCGGTCAGATGACCAAAAGCTCCAGCTGCGGGTCATCATATGACTAAGACCCGCCTCAGGAAACACTTGTCCTGTTTCCTGACAAACCTTACCTAACCTACCTGACGTCCCTTATGGGACGTCACCTAAGTAGGACCATCTCACGCCCAAGAAAAAGTTATGCGAATTTTCAGGATAGGCCAGGCAAATTAACCTATGTTATATCATGTAAATTTTAATAAGATTGGGTTGTTACGTTAATATTAGTAAGTAATATTAAAAATGCATATGAAAAAAGTTGCATAACTTCAGGTAACTTAAGAACAGGAAGAAGAGTATAGTAATGTCTTCAAAATCAGCACAATTAATTTTTTCAACAACTGTGGCGCTCTGCCTCGACATCTTCAACCGCCTCTCTCTCTTACCATCATCAACGTATGCAGGGCTGACAGATCTAGATGCACTACTACAATAAACACTAAAATTGTTCAGTAAACACGGATGAATCAAGAGAGTGACTGCCCCCAACAACGTCTACTGGCCAACAACCTCACTATCCACATCTACTGGGAGGGTTACAGCCTAATGTCATTAAGAATGTATATCACTAAATAATGTCTTGAACGCCAGTCAATAATACTTCAATCCCTAAAATATGGATTAAATTAAACCCAGTATGTATACATAAACATATCTCTACATTTGTGCTGTCTGTAGAGACGATACCCATCTTAACATGTAGGGAACCCGCGTCTGCCACCTGGCGAGTGTAAGCCCAGGTTTTCTCTACGCCACTGGCATGCTGGTGAGGGGCTGGGCCCCTCAAGGAAGGTTCCTTGATGTTGGTGAGGGGCTCTTGATTTAGGGAATTGGATCTGTGCTCCAGTTCCCCGAATTAAGCCTGAATGCCTTCCACATCCCCCCCCCCCAGGCGCTGTATAATCCTCCGGGTTTAGCGCTTCCCCCTTGATTATAATAATAATAATGGTGAGGGGCTCTTGATCTAGGGAATTGGATCTGTGCTCCAGTTCCCTGAATTGAGCCTGAATACCTTCCATCCCCCTCCACATGCGCTGTATAATCCTACGGGTTTAGCGCTCCCCATAATTATAATAATAATTATAATAATCTACGCCACTGGCAAACGAATACTTATTTAAGATTTTAACTTTTAAATTAGAACACCTGAAAAAAATTTACATCTCTTTTTTTTTTATCCAGTAGGAAGTGAAGTTTTCTCACGGATTAGCATTAAGATTTATTCGGATTTTTATAACGCGGAGGGTTAGCCACGCTGGATAACTAACCAAAGAAAGCCAGTGCATCATCGAGGTCTATCTATCTTATTTTCACTGTGGTCTTTTAATCTCGTCCCCCGGGATGCGACCCACACCAATTATCTAACACCTAAATACCTACTGCTAGATGAGCAGGGACAGTAAGTGTAAAGGAAACATACCAAACGTTTCTTGTTTACCTGGAGAGAGTTCCGGGGGTCAACGCCCCCGCGGCCCGGTCTGTGACCAGGCCTCCTGGTGGATCAGAGCCTGATCAACCAGGCTGTTACTGCTGGCTGCACGCAAACCAACGTACGAGCCACAGCCCGGCTGATCAGGAACCGACTTTAGGTGCTTGTCCAGTGCCAGCTTGAAGACTGCCAGGGGTCTGTTGGTAATCCCCCTTATGTATGCTGGGAGGCAGTTGAACAGTCTCGGGCTAGCTCGGTTGCTAGCGTACTCGGCTCACACTGAGGTCCGTGGTTGGATCCCTGATACGGGTGGACACATAATGTCCTTGTTCACCTAGTAGTAAATAGGTACCTGGCCTGGGTGGTAGCCGACTGATGTAGGTCGCATCCTGGAGTTTACCTGGAGAGAGTTTCGGGGGTCAAACGCCCCGCGGCCCGGTCTGTGACCAGGCCTCCTGGTGGATCAGCCCCTGATCAACCAGGCTGTTGCTGCTGGCTGCACGCAAACCAACGTACGAGCCACAGCCCGGCTGATCAGGAACTGACTTTAGGTGCTTGTCCAGTGCCAGCTTGAAGACTGCCAGGGGTCTGTATTTGAAGATGTGGGCTGTCTTTAGTTTAGTTAAATGTAAGTTATGTGTGATGGTTGGGGTTTTTTTTTGGGGGGGTATAAAATTTTTTTTTGTTAAACGTGTTTTTTCTTAGTATAATTTAGTGCTAAGGGGGATGTGGGCTTTTTTGTTTTTAAATTATAATGGTTACGTTTCATTGTTTACTTTGTTACAGGTATAATTGGTATTGGTTTTTAAAATTTTAAAAATATTAAAAAAAAATTATATTTCATCGACATTAAAAATTTTGCGACGAAGAAGTAAGTATATTCGGTATAACAAATAATTTACATGAATTTCATCATGCGCTATGTGTAGGAACCTAGGAAAACCAAAAAAAGTCAGCAGAGGACTTATTTCCATTGGGTCCTTTTACCTATTATTTAAAATAAAGGTTATAATATAAAAGGGTATAAAAGGAAAACTATAAAAATTAAAGGCAAAGAACATTATAGCTGGAATTGAAAACGGGGTCTTCAGTACAACCTTACGGAAACTCGTCCCTCAAGGAAGGGTTTCCCTTTATGTTGGTGAGGGGCTTTGATTTAGGAAAATTTGGGTCTGGCTCCGTTCCTTTAATTAAGCCCGAATGCTTCACACCCCCCGGCGCTGTATAATCCTCCCGGGTTTAAAGGTTCCCTTGATTATAAAAATAAAACGGAAATAGCTCAATATTTCAGTTTTTCTCTTTTGTATTTATTTAAAATTCTTTTTTCAAAATAGTTAAAATAGAGTGTATTTTTGTGTTAGGAAACAGGATTGTTCATGATCTCAAGAATAGCAAACCAGGACTGCTGAGGGATAGACGGAAAATAAACCATTTAATAGTGAAATTGATATTTTTACACTCCACCCTTTAAAGGACTCCCAGTAAAAAAAATTAAGCCGCCGAAGAGGTTTTTGGTTATTGTTTGGATTAAAAAATAGGGAAGGTGTTTAAATTGCAGACTAAATCTAACATTGGCGTGAAATAATTGTATAACTTTTCTTAGTAAAACATTAAGGGGGAAAAAATAAAAAATTCAGAAATTACTTACAGAACTCTTCAAGGATCCCTAATAATAATAATAAAAACAGTAATACAGACACACTCCCACGAGCCCTTTTTGGGGGCGGGGAAGGCCCCAGAGCCAGAGCTTGCTACACCTGTGCTTAAAAAACCCCATTCCCACGGTCCCCCCGGGGGCGGGGGAAGATAGCAGACCAGGGCCAAACCTTCTCCTACGACCCCCGTGGGGCGGGGAATGGTGTAGGCCCGGGAAATTGGTCTCGGGGGATGAGGAGGTACTTGTCCCCCCTCCCATGGCAGAAGGTCTCCGACATCACCTTTTTTTATGTATTATTTTTAGTAAAAGCTGTTTAGTCAAAACCCCCCCTCCCCTCTCTCTTTCAAATCACAAACCATCATACAGTCCACTCAATATTTGCAAAAAGGGCTCCCAATGGGAAAAAAATCACTCTGACTTTTTTTTGGGTTTTCCTAGGTACTTTTACACATATGTGCTTGTTTCCCGGAGAGAGTTCTGGGGGTAAGCCCCCCGGGGCCCCGGTCTGTGATCAGGCCCCCTGGGGGCAGAGCTGATCAACCAGGCTGTTTTCTGCTGGGGGCAGCAAAACCAAAGTACGAGCCCCAGCCGGTGGTCAGGAACCCACTTTAGGGCTGTCCAGTGCCAGCTTGAAGACAGCCAGGGGTAAGTAAGTAAGTTTATTCAGGTATACACAAATACAGTTACATAGAATTATCATACATAGCAGCATATGTGTAGAGAACCTAGGATAACCCAAAAAAGTCAGACAGAGTGACTTATTTCCATTGGGGTCTGTTGGTAATCCCCCTTATGTATGCTGGGAGGCAGTTGAACAGTCTCGGGCCCCTGACACTTATTGTATGGTCTCTTAACGTGCTAGTGACACCCCTGCTTTTCATTGGGGGGATGTTGCATCGTCTGCCAAGTCTTTTGCTTTCGTAGTGAGTGATTTTCGTGTGCAAGTTCGGTACTAGTCCCTCTAGGATTTTCCAGGTGTATATAATCATGTATCTCTCCCGCCTGCGTTCCAGGGAATACAGGTTCAGGAACCTCAAGCGCTCCCAGTAATTGAGGTGTTTTATCTCCGTTATGCGCGCCGTGAAGGTTCTCTGTACATTTTCTAGGTCAGCAATTTCACCTGCCTTGAAAGGTGCTGTTAGTGTGCAGCAATATTCCAGCCTAGATAGAACAAGCGACCTGAAGAGTGTCATCATGGGCTTGGCATCCCTAGTTTTGAAGGTTCTCATTATCCATCCTGTCGTTTTTCTAGCAGATGCGATTGATACAATGTTATGGTCCTTGAAGGTGAGATCCTCCGACATGATCACTCCCAGGTCTTTGACGTTGGTGTTTCGCTCTATTTTGTGGCCAGAATTTGTTTTGTACTCTGATGAAGATTTAATTTCCTCGTGTTTACCATATCTGAGTATGATAATCTATGTAACTATTTGTATATACCTGAATAAACTTATTTACTAATTTACCAACATTATTGGTATTGATTTTTGTTGTAATATTTAATAGGCCTGACTTTGTTTGTGGGTGGTAAAGAGTGTGTGTGTGTGTCTGGGTGGAGAGACATGGTACGCCATAGTCTCTAAAATCCCACCTGACTGAAGGTTAGGTTAGGTAAGGTTCCTCAGGAAACAGGACAAATGTTTCCTGACGCGGGTCTTAGTCAGATGATGACCCGCCTTTGGAGCTTTTGCACAATTAACATTCATAAGTATAATATATCGTTGCTTAGTTGTGCCCCTTTCAAATTATGTGAATATTTCAGGAATGTACCTGTGTACCCCCGTCCCATAATTTCCCAAAATTTAAATTTAATAATAATAATAATAATAATAATAATAATTATAATAAAAATAATTAATTAAGATGTCCAGCCTAGGGTGATTTTAAATAATGTTGTAACCTAGGATGATCTTGAAGTGTTTTTGACTCTCAGTTACAATTCCATAGAGAACTATAACTTCCTCCAGTCTGGCAGTGAAGCCAGATCTTCTAGAAACGTCCAGTGCAATATTTTTGAAAAAAAAAAAAATAAAAAATTATTTTGGAAAACGAGCACTAAAATAACTATACACACCTAATTATACTATTTTTTTTATCACTGATACATATAATAGTAAGTTAGTTTTATTATGCCTTTGGAATGATTATTATTACTTTCATAGAGGAAGAGCTTAGTAGGGGTAATAAGTACCTGTAATTAAGAGGTAATTAAGGTTGATCCAAGGAAGTGGAGAATGGCTGCAATTCCTTGGATGAAGAACCTTAGTGGTGTAGCATCAAGTAAGAGTGACCAGTGTGGCGGGAAGACTCGGGATAGACACACTTTCATCCTCTCATACTTCTCCTTAACTAGGTTTGTTACATATATAACTGTACACCTCTACTAGAATATGACATACTAGCCGTAACTGTTCTAAGTTATGGTAGTATCTGCTGGTGATGAATTAAATGCATTGCTAAATATATATATAGTTCATCTTTCTAGAATTCTCACCAGCGAGTTTACTTCTGCTTGATATTTAATATCAATTACAAGTCTTATTTACTGGTTTTACTGGATGTGACTTTTTTCCAAATGTATGATTTTAAGAAATCACCCATATATATATATATATTCCAAAATATTGGAGTAACGTATCCATCATGTGAGGTTCCTTGATGCTGGTGAGAGGCTTTTGATCTGGGGAATTGGATTGTGTACATTTCCCCTAATTTAAAACCTGAAACTTCCATCCCCCCCCAAGACACTAAAATTTCCTACGGGTTAGCGTTCCCTGTAATATTGGAGTCCCTTAGCGCGCTTGCGTGTTGAAAGGGAAACCGAGTTCAGTGCCCCGTAGGGTTATCGCGTTTTTATATTATTAATCGCAAGGCGAAAAAAGGTGGCCTAAAACCCCCGTAATACATTAAAGGCCTAAACTGGAAAGCAAAGCCTACATAACAAGCCTGTGTGAAGCCAAACCTAACAATTTTAAATGTAGCTGTGCTCGTATGCCCCTTGTAGGTTTTTAGTGCTTCTTTTTTATTAATAATAAATGTAGCAGGCTAACCAAACTGCAACCTAAGTCACCCTAATAAAAAGTTTAAACCTAACCTAACCTAACTTTCAGCCTCCCATACTTGCTTAATTCAATTTTTTAGACGTTTAACTTTTTTGCCCGAAATTTTCGCATAATAACTATGGTCTTTCTTTCAGCAAAATTTAAATGTCACTCATCTCTGTACAGAAATAATAATAATATATCTTTATTTCTGCATGTAAAAAGTGTACAGACCATGTAACATCAGTGACATAATAATATATAGAAAATCCTTTTTATGCAGAGCTTTTCCCGCAATTAGGTCATTTTGCCCCGGGATGCGCCCCAAACCCCAATTACAACCCGGGTGCCATTTTATGGGGGGTTGAACAGGGAAAAGTTTTTTATGGAAATTGTTGTATGTTTTCCACCATACCAGGAAAACGTCCCAGACCTCATGTTTACCCCAAAGTGCCCTAGTGACAGATAAAAGTGAGTGGAAAACTACGAGAGGATGAAGAAGCGTGCCCCTTTGTAGAAATAAATCCATCAAAGACAAGGCATTGAATTTGCACTCTGGAATAGCATGGAATTTGCCCTGGAATTCCATGGGTTGAATCTAAAAAAAAAAGAAAAACAACATGGAGGGGGGGAAGGAGGAGCCGACCTATCTAACCGAACTTTAAAACCCAAAGGGAACCTACTTGTATTTAAGCTATGTTTTTCTCTGTATATTTTTTTTTTTTTTAACCCTTCACTGAGAATTAGGGCAAAAATTGTTAAAATGTATAATTGAAGTGCACTCGCCTTGCTACCAAATTCAGAGGGTCAACCCCTGAAGGGGAAAACGGGCTATTTATTACACCCACTGTCCCCGTTCACCCAAAGTAGTCTGGGTGTTAGTCGTCTTTTGTGGGTTGCATCCTGAGGGCAAAATAAAGGACTTTAATGGAAATAAGACAGCCCCCAATGATACCGATTTTATTGGGTCATCTTGGGGGGGCAACTCTCCGGGTTAAAATTCCATACAAATCTCCTTAAGACAGCACTCGCAGCAGTGATTCAATAAGTAAGTATATTGAAAGTATATGAGGGCAGGGTTTGGCAATAAGGTTTGTTTAAGTTTAAAAATTCATTATTTTTTTTTGCCTTCCTAAGTATGACTTTTTTGGGTTTTCTTAGGATAAATATGTATAATGTTTTAAAAAAATTGCAGTGGTTATACTGTATTACAGTATTTTATTTTTTTTTTTTATTTTTTTTTTTTTGTGTTCATAGGGGTAATTACTGAAAATGAGTGGGTGGAGACCCTGGAGACTTGATGTCATTGATATCACCCCTGACAAGGATGGTGGGGTTTTAAAACAGGTGAGTGTAAAATAACAGAATACAGTATGTATATGTATATTAAAATGATTAAAATTTTCTTGAAGATTAGATGTTCATTAGAGATTATGAAGGTGTCTTGAAGGTGAGTATAGGAGAACACAAATTTGGATCCTGCAAATTTGTAGAAGTTTGTGAATTAGCAAACTTTTTCTTTTGCATTTTCTGCAAACTCTGTGACTTCACTTTTTTAGTGTTCATTTTCTTTTAGCTATGAAAACAATCCCCTCGAAATTAAAAAGCAACCAGTGTTGAAAATCTACTAGATTTCCAGTTCCCAAATTTATAAAAAATTTCTTACGCATGTCAGTATTAATTAACCTGTAAACGGTCCAAGCAGATCTACGTTCACATGTATAGTGCTCCAAAAGTAGATTATGTGTTTTTACATACTTTTAAATGTTGAAAAAACGTATATATACATTTGGACCATTTATGGGTTAATAAGGTTAGAGCAATAAGTCCTGTCTCGCTGATTCAGAGCTGAAAAGTCAAACAAGAAAACAGGATTTCTCTTAATGGCTTGGGTTGTATTTTCAACATTTTGATGAGTTTTTTTGGGCTCACGTTTGGAAATTTGCTAAAGAATTATTTAATCAATATTCTCTCTGCATATGGTCATCATATATAATTTTTTGAGCAAATCTGTCAAATTTGGAAACATTTGCAGATGTCCATATCTTCAGACCTGTCACAAGTCTTCCACTGAAAACAAACAATATAATTTTGTTGAACAAGTTCAGTGTATTTTTTGCACTCAGATTTTCTTAATTTTCTTGAGAATGTCAGTAGTAATGAGGTTAGTAATATTTACAAAATTTGGCAACTGATACACAAAATAAGCTTAACCCTTAAACAGTCCAAATTTGTGAGTGTATATAGTACTACTACTATATATATTTATATATATATATATACGTTCTCTAGTGTAGCACCCACAACGTATGTAGTTCATTTCGTCATTCATTCAACATTGGCATGATAGGCCTGAGTCGCCTAGGACATGAGAGAATGGGTGTGCGCCTCATTGTGCACCATCATGAAAAAAATTTGGGGATGCCTGGGTTCCACATGCCTTTTTTCCTATAATTTTTTTTTTTATTTTTTATTTTTAAATATTCGGGGGCGCTGCGCAGTTGTGAACGTATATATAATGTTTGGTACCGTTTAGGGTTAAATACTACTTGTTTATGTTGATAAAATTTAATGATACAGTTTTGCATGTGCATTAATTTCCAGCAAGCGTGCAGGAGGCGTGTTGTTTAGATAGGAGTGATTGGAAGATGAATGATATTTGGGACTGACGAGCTGTTGGGAGTGTGTAGCAGGGTAAACATATAGATGAAGGAATTCAGGGAAACCGGTTATTTTTATTATAGCCAGACTTGAGTTGGAAATGGGAAGTTACAGTGCTGCTCTCTTTAAAGGAGGGGTTGAGATATTGGCATTTTGGTAGGGACATGTATCTTATACGTACATGTATATGCTTCTAAACTGTTGTATTCTGAGCACCTCTGAAAAAACAGTGATTGTGTGAGCGAGGTGAAAGTGTTGAATGATGATGAAAGTATTTTCTTTTTGGGGATTTTCTTTCTTTTTGGGTCACCCTGCTTCAGTGGGAGACAGCTGACTTGTTAAAAAAAAAAAAATAAATATTTTCTTGCATGGCTTCAAAAAAAAATTTTTTTGTTGGGTTTCAGGTAAATAGTACAGTGGAACCTCAAATTTTGAACGTATCACTTATCAAACTTTTCGAAAATAGAACGCTTTTCTCAAACCAACTTTGTCCCTATTATCGAACTCGCCCCTATTTTCGAACCACTGGGTACCAGACCTGTCTGGCAGCCCGCTCTGTCTCTGTCTGCGTCCCCATGCAGGTGCCGTGAGCCAGTCTGGTTTTGTTGATGCCCGAGTGAACTAACTGCGCTCTCATTCAAACATTTTACAATTATTTCATTGTGTTTAGTGCTTTTGGGACTGAAATAAGTTACCATGGGCCCAAAGAAACTTGCTAGTGGTACTCCTGTGGTAAAGAGAGAAACATCCTAGATGTGAAGAAGGAAATAATACAGAAGTATGAGAGTGGTGTGAGACTTGTTGAGCTTGCCAGGATGTACAGAGGACTGTAGACAGTTATTTTGAGACAGAAACATGACTGTAGATAGTTATTTTGTGAGACAAACAGAGGACTGTAGACAGTTATTTTGTGAGACAGGGGTCCAGTGACTCTCAAGCTAGTCCTAGTGGCATTAAAATACAGAGAAGGGAATTATTATTATAATAAAAAAGAAGCGCTAAGCCACAAGGGCTGTACAGCGCTGCCAGAGAAGGGAAGTAACCCCAGAGAGGGCTTTGCTACCTAAAGTCTTCATGGAGGGGGATTCTCCTTCCAAACACTAACCCCAACTCCCTCCCTCCCCTCCCTATCTTCAAATTTGTTTGGGGGGGGCCATCTCCAATCTTCAATGGAAGGTAATAAAAATGACTATATGTTTATTTAAATATTTTTTTTTTTTTTTTATTTTTTTTTCAAAAAAGTCGGCCGTTCCCACAGGACGCAGGGTTTGACCCAAAAAAAGAAAGAAAATCCCCAAAAAGAAAAGAAACTTTCTAATTCATTCAACACTTTCACCACACTCGACATTATCACTGTTTTTGCAGAGGTGCTCAGAATACAACAGTCTAGAAGCATACACATATAAAGATACACAACATATCCCTCCAAACTGCCAATATCCCAAACCCCTCCTTTAAAGTGCAGGCATTGTACTTCCCATTTCCAGGACTCAAGTCCGACTATATGAAAATAACCGGTTTCCCTGAATCCCTTCACTAAATATTACCCTGCTCACACTCCAACAGATCGTCAGGTCCCAAGTACCATTCGTCTCCATTCACTCCTATCTAAACACGCTCACGCACGCTTGCTGGAAATCCAAGCCCCATTACCCACAAAACCTCCTTTACCCCCTCTCTCCAACCCTTTCGAGGACGACCCCTACCCCGCCTTCCTTCCCTATAGATTTATATGCTTTCCATGTCATTCTACTGTGATCCATTCTCTCTAAATGACCAAACCACCTCAACAACCCCTCTTCTGCCCTCTGACTAATACTTTTATTAACTCCACACCTTCTCCTAATTTCCACACTCCGAATTTTTTGCATAATATTTACACCAACATTGCCTTAGACAGGACATCTCCGCTGCCTCCAACCGTCTCCTTGCTGCTGCATTTACCACCCAAGCTTCACACCCATATAAGAGTGTTGGTACTACTATACTTTCATACATTCCCTTCTTTGCCTCCATAGATAACGTTTTTTGACTCCACATATACCTCAAGCACCACTCACCTTTTTCCCTCATCAATTCTATGATTAACCTCATCCTTCATAAATCCATCCGCCGACACGTCAACTCCCAAGTATCTGAAAACATTCACTTCTTCCATACTCCTCCTCCCCAATTTGATATCCAATTTTTCTTTATCTAAATCATTTGACACCCTCATCACCTTACTCTTTTCTATGTTCACTTTCAACTTTCTACCTTTACACACATTCCCAAACTCATCCACTAACCTTTGCAATTTTTCTTTAGAATCTCCCATAAGCACAGTATCATCAGCAAAAAGTAACTGTGTCAATTCCCATTTTGAATTTGATTCCCCATAATTTAATCCCACCCTCTCCCAAACACCATAGCATTTACTTCCTTTACAACCCCATCTATAAATATATTAAACAACCATGGTGACATTACACATCCCTGTCTAAGACCTACTTTTACCGGGAAGTAGTCTCCTCTCTTCTACACACCCTAACCTGAGCCTCACTATCCTCATAAAAACTCTTTACAGCATTTAATAACTTACCACCTATTCCATATACTTGCAACATCTGCCACATTGCTCCTCTTATCCACTCTATCATATGCCTTTTCTAAATCCATAAATGCAATAAAAACCTCCCTATCTTTATCTAAATACTGTTTCACATATATGCTTCAATGTAAACACCTGATCTACACATCCCCTACCCACTCTAAAACCTCCTTGCTCATCCGCAATCCTACATTCTGTCTTACCTCTAATTCTTTCAATTATAACCCTACCGTACACTTTTCCTGGTATACTCAGTAAGCTTATTCCTCTGTAATTTTTACAGTCTCTTTTGTCCCCTTTCCCTTTATATAAAGGGACTATACATGCTCTCTGCCAATCCCTAGTACCTTCCCCTCTTTCATACATTTATTAAACAAAAGTACCAACCACTCCAACACTATATCCCCCCTGCTTTTAACATTTCTGTCATGATCCCATCAGTTCCAGCTGCTTTACCCCCTTTCATTTTACGTAATGCCTCGCGTACCTCCCCCACACTTAAACATTCTGCTCTTTCTTCACTCCTAAAGATGGTAACCTCCCTGACCAAAGTGCATGAAATTACTGCCTCTGTTTCTTCCTTAACATTTAAAAGTTCCTCAAAATATTCTCGCCATCTACCCAATACCTCCATTCCCCATCTACTAACTCCCCTACTCTGTTTTTAACTGGACAAATCCTATTTTCCCTAGGCTTTCTTAATTGTTTAACTCGCTCCAAAATTTTTTTCTTATTTTCTTTTAAAATTTCTTGACAGTGCCTCTCCCACTCTACATCTGCTCTCCTTTTGCACTCTCTCACCACTCTCTTTACCTTTCTTTTACTCTCCTATACTTGCTCTTCTTATAACACTTCTGCTTTGTAAAAACCTTTTCAAAAGCTACCCTTTTTCTCTTTTATCACACCCTTTACTTCTTTCATTCCACCAATCACTCCTCTTTCCTCCTGCCCCCCCCCCTCCTAAAAACCACAAACTTCTGCCCCACATTCTAATACTGCATTTTTAAAACTATTCCAACCCTCTTCAACCCCCCCATACTCATCTTTGCACTAGCCCACCTTTCTGCCAATAGTCGCTTATATCTCACCCGAACTTCCTCCTCCCTTAGTTTATACACTTTCACCTCCCTCTTACTTGTTGTTGCCCCCTTTCCTCTTTTCCCATCTACCTCTTACTCTAACTGTAGCTACAACTAAATAATGATCCGATATATCAGTTGCCCCTCTATAAACATGTACATCCTGGAGCCTACCATCAACCTTTTATCCACCAATACATAATCAAATAAACTACTTTCTTTTACATGCTACATCATACCTTGTATATTTATTTATCCTCTTTTTCATAAAATATGTATTACTTATTACCAAATTCTTTCTACACATAGCTCAATTAAAGGCTCCCCATTTACATTTACCCCCGGCACCCCAAATTTACCTACTACTCCCTCCATAACATTTTTACCCACTTTAGCATTAAAATCCCCAACCACCATTACTCTCACACTTGATTCAAAACTCCCCACGCATTCACTCAACATTTCCCAAAATCTCTCTCTCTCCTCTACACTTCTCTCTTCTCCAGGTGCATACACGCTTATTATAACCCACTTTTCACATCCAATCTTTATTTTGCTCCACATAATCCTTGAATTAATACATTTATAGTCCTCTTTTCCTGCCATAAGCTTATCCTTCAACATTATTGCTACTCCTTCTTTAGCTCTAACTCTATTTGAAACCCCTGACCTAATCCCATTTATTCCTCTCCACTGAAACTCTCCCACCCCCTTCAGCTTTGTTTCACTTAAAGCCAGGACATCCAGCTTTTTCTCATTCATAACATCACAATCATCTCTTTCTTATCATCTGCACAACATCCACGCACATTCAGACTTCCCACTTTGACAATTTTCTTCTTCTTATCTTTTTAGTAATCTTTACAGGAAAAGGGGTTACTAGCCCATTGTTCCCGGCATTTAAATTTATTTAAATTTATTTAAATTTATTTAAATTTATTAATACATAATTGAACACTATATTTGTTGTGTGTATGCAAAACTATAATCTGGAACAGATTAAATGTATTTCCCTTATTTCTTATGGGAAATATTGCTTCGCTTTACAGACTTTTCGAATTTAGAACTAGTTTGATATTTGAGGTTCCACTGTAGTTGTAATCCACTGTTTTTCAGTATACTACCTATACTGCATTATGACATTACCATAACTATTATTGTGTGAATAATATTGTGTAATAAAGTAGATGCTGAAATATGAATGACATCTGTTGTATATCCAGTCCAATTAAATTTGCAAAATTACCTATACTGTACATATATGGAATTGTTATTTATATAACCTGTGGTTAGGCATCATATTTAAAGGCTTAAATTTTGTGTTTAATGTCTACAGATTTTGAAACCAGGAGAGGGTGAAGCAACACCTTGGAAAGGTGACCGTGTATTTGTACATTATGTTGGAACATTGGCTGAGGATGGATCAAAGTTTGACTCGAGTCGGGATAGAGGAGAACACTTCGTGTTTACCCTTGGGAAGCGTAAGAAAATACTGTACTGTAGTTGTATAAATATTTGAATTAATTAGCAGAAAGACTTAAGTGAAATTAAATTAAATTAATTGAAGCCTAAAAGCAAAATTTAAGTTTAGTCTTGTATTTATAGATACAGTAGTACCTTGGTACTCGAACAGCTCCCTAGTCAAACAATTCGATATTCGAACGCTTTGTTCGGTAAAAAAAAATCACTCTCTCCAGGTAAACTCCAGGTAGTCAACCGTTTATTCGGCACTCGACCAAACACCCTGCCAGAACTTCGCTGCAAACTATTTTGTTTCTTCACATTTTTTTTTTTATACAGCCTCTCGTCACTTAGTGACATACACATTTACCGACAACTCGGACTTACAACGGGCTCTCTGACTAGTGTGCATGCCTAAATAATGTATATTAGAGCTGATTTCCTCGATTCTGTTTTACAATATGCAGTACACTACTGTACAAACATTTGAAAATATACCAGAAATGTTGTAAATGGTGCAAAGGTGACATTAAAACATTTTCAAAGATGGTTGACATAAACCAATTGCCATTATAACATGCTCCTCACTTGCCGACAAATTTGTTTACTGACATCTTAGGAATGGAACTCTGTCGTTAAGTGAGGAGAGGCTGCATTTGTATCAATAAGTCACCATGGGGCCTAAGAACATAAGTGATAATAGCCAACCAAAAAGAAAATTTGTTGGGAAAAATTTGTTTGGTACTAGAACAGATTGGCACTCAAACAGCCTTCTGGAATTAATTAAGTTTAAGTACCAGGGTACTACTGTAATAGATAGTTTTGATTCACAGCTGGTTTCTGATATATGCCACTTGAATTGAGTTGCCAGATGCATCACAGCTGTTTGTAATTATCATTTTACTTATTTGTGGACAAACATCTGATAATTTCTTATAACCTACCCTTGACCAGTCTCCACCTCACTGTCATGTCAATAGTACCATATAACACACTTTGCCAGTTTGTTAAAAAATATATAAATGATTAACTACTTTACCAAAATATTAAACTGATTACACCTACCATCCGACTTACGACCGACTTCGGCTCCGAGAAACCGGTCGTAAGTCGAACTTTACTACTGAATATCAACATCACATTTTTGTAATGACTTTATTTTATTGTTTTATTTTGGTATTTCAGGTTTTACTTTACTTTTTATGTTGTTAGTACTGTATTTTATATTGTAAGGTTTAGGATAAACACTGTGTACAACACAAATAGTAGTTTATTTCCCAGAAATTTGGCAAAAAAAACACGGTCGTAAGTCGAGCAGGTCGTAAGTCGGAATGTAGGTGTATTTGCTATATGTTAGTAAAATAAAAACTTTGCTATTATTACAAGGTCAGAAAATGTCCTGTTACCCTAGGGAATACTGGTGATGTTATGTATTTTCTCATTCTTGTATGTACGTTGTGAATTAATAATATATTTTGCCTTGTCAGGTGAGGTTATTAAGTCTTGGGATTTAGGCGTTGCTACAATGAAGAAAGGAGAGATAGCTCGACTGACATGCAAGAGTGAATATGCTTATGGGGAAAAAGGAAGTCCACCAAAGATACCACCCAATGCAACATTAGTATTTGAGGTTAGTGAACATTAAAGGCTTTTGCTTATGTAAAATAACTATTGAAATTGTTGATGGCTAGTTATACTGCACTTGTTCGTTAGGCAATCCTGATGTAGCTCCTTGGCTTCCTGTTGGGAAATAATTTGCTTTTGTTGGAAACTCTTAATATAATTAACATTTCTAACATTACCCGAACTACTTTTAAGTTTGATAACCGCCAAAGTGCTACAAGCAGCTAGCAATATTCTTCTGCCCACTGTTAGGTTTACTTAATCTTTGTTTATGATTTTGTAGTATGAGTATTTGTATGTTTGTTCTGTGTAATGTATCATTGCATTTCATATTGTGCATTTAGTTACATTTTTCAGAAAAATTATATACCTACCTAAATATGAAGTCTGTATTCGCATTTTGGGTTTGCTTGTTTCATGTTAAGCAAATGTCTAAACAAATTGCTTTGTAGTCTGTAGAAGTTAAATCTTAAATATTTTATATTTTTATGCTTCTGGGCTAAGTACACAAAACTAGTCAGAAACTAGGCTACCGGGACAATGGACCCTGGAACCATTAACCCACACACACACTTATCTGTATCCAGCTTAACCACTTTGAAAGGTAATTAGTGTTTTGGAGATCTTTCAAATACGTATTTGTAAATATGATTTTTCTACCAGTCATGAAGCTGACACTATTGGATGCATGAGTATACCAGACTCTTCTGCAACCTTGTGCAATAAAATTAGAAGTGACCTTACTATTAATATCTGTTTTATTAAATATTGCACTCGGTTCAGTACATAAATTTAAACTTGGCTGGGTGCATGAGCCGATTAGAGTTCTTTGTCAAATACGAACATAGATAACTATTTGAAATCCTCTGTTTTTTGGAATAGTGTACTATTTCTTTTTCTTGCTGCTAGGTCTCTTCAAGGAATGGGCTAGGGGGATGCTACATTCAGGCTAATGAAGGGCTCTTGATTTAAGAAATTGGAGGTACCCTCTCTCCTAGGATCATACCTGGTTACCTCCCACTTCAAGGCAATGCATAACCCCTTAAAAATTTAGCTTATATCCAGTGCTAATACTTATAATCTTATAATCCTTCCTCCATAAGCAATGTGCATTTAAGAGGCAACTAAAATGCAAGGAGCAAAGGGCTAGTAACCCCTTCTGAATAAATTACTAAATACACCTACCATCCGACTTACGACCGAGTTCGGTTCCGAGAAACCGGTCGTAAGTCGAAATGGTCATAAGTCTAACTTGACTACTGAATATCAACAAAACATTTTTGTAATGACTTTATTTTATTGTTTTATTTTGGTATTTCATGTTTTACTTTACTTTTTATGTTGTTAGTACTGTATTTTGTACTGTAAGGTTTAGGATAAACACTGTACAACACAAATAGTTGTTTATTTCCCAGAAATTTGGCATAAAAAACACGGTCGTAAGTCGAGTGGCCGTAAGTCGAGCAGGTCGTAAGTCGGATGGTAGGTGTATAAAAAGTAAAGCTTGTTTTTTCTTTTAGGTCGCCCTGCCATGGTGGGATACAGCCAGCGCATTAAAAAAAATAATTATAATCATGTGGATGGGTATTTTATATTTTGCTCAAGATTCTTTGCATTTTAAAATTTTGTTCGTTTCCATGTTAATTTGGTTTTGTTCCTTGATAGGTAGAGTTGTTAAAATGGGAAGGCGAGGATATTAGTCCAAAGAAAGATGGGGGTATAATGAGAAGAACTATTGTGCAAGGAGAAGGCTATACAACCCCTAATGAAGGTGCAGTTGTAGATGGTGAGTATAATTTGTACTTTAGAAACTTCATTGTACAGGTGTGGAAAATTATCTACTTGTAGTTATGATCAGTGCTATCTCAGTTTTTCTATAATTAATTTGTTTTTTCCGAGGTTTCTTGTAGTTGTCGCACAACTAGGAATCATTTGTAATGTTACTTCTAAATATTTTTCTGCGCTGCATTTATTGTTTTTGTAATTTGAGTACAGTGTTACATAAACAATGTTTGATAAAAAAAAGCAAGAAGCCACTTGGAAAGAAAAATAGTTAAAAAAATCTATACACATTACAATCTCTGGAGAAGGTCTTGAGACTGAAACATAGATAAAGAGATCTGTATGTTTTCCTGAAGTGGTTTCCTCACTTTTCAGTATTCAATATTCAGTCATCAATATTTTATAACTTGTTCTTTCAGTTCATATCATCGGCAGAGTGAATGGCACAGTATTTGATGACAGAGAACTGAAATTCCCTCTTGGTGAGGGAATGGAACACCGTATTCCAGAGGGCCTAGAGAGTGCACTTGGACATTTCAAGAAGGGAGAGAAGTCCACTATCAGTCTTTCACCAACTGTAAGTGCCTTTATTTGTAATATTTAGACTGGGTTTTCTTATCCCAATGCTTTTATTTCTCAAAAATTATGATGGAGAATACTCAAGCTTGATCACCTTGACCAGTGAAAACGGTGTAATTGCTCAGTTGTGTCTACAGGAACAGTATTGAGCCATAGGTGTCACTGCTTTGGTATTTAATGTACATACAATAATTTTTTTATAGTTTCTTGTGGTTGTAATACTGTCTTCTGTTATAGCCATGTCATTGGGAGCATGATAGTTATACTTGTAATATTTTGTAAGTGTTGTATACCTCTATATGTATCTACCACATTGAGGCTCAATAAAGCAAAGCTGCTGGTGAGCAAACTTAGCATATATGAAATATTCAGAATATTTCATGTGTCCATTTGCCTAAAATATTTCATTATTCTGTTTATCATTAGTTTCCAGTGATTATATTAGTTACTACCTCTTGTATGTAGTTTGTGTTCTATTTCTAGGTGAAGAACCTCTTTTAGTATCCTTGCAGCACCTCTCCAATTTACAGTTGTAACCTCTTTCTCCATGTTGATTGTGTTAAGCAATCTTTATTTCTTCTTCTTCTTTCAACACTGGCTATATCCCACCAAGACAGGGTGGCCCAAAAAGAAAAACGAAAGTTTCTCCAATCTTTATTTGTTCATTCATATTATGTAGATATGTACATGTGTACTTGCCTATATGTGGTTGCAGGGGTTGATTCTCAGCTCCTGAATCTGCCTCTCAATTTGCTGCTTGCCAGATTAACTCTGTGTCTCATACCTATTCTTAAAACTATATAGGAGTCTGCTTCCACCACTTCTTTGTTTAGGCCATCACACTTCCCAACTACCTTGAAACTGATTAAATAGTTCCTGACATTCCTGTGACTCGTCTGTCTTTAACTTCCGCCTGTGTCTGAGTTTTTCCTTTCCTCTCCAACAGCCTGTCCCAGCCTGTCCTATCAGTTCCTTGTGAGTACTTGGTATGTACATTGGTATCACATCTTCCCTGGTTCTTTTGTCCTCAGGGTCGTTAGATTCAGTTCCTTTAGCTTCTCGCCATAGCTCATACACCTTAGTTCTGGAGCTAGTCTCGTTTCATACTTTGCACTTTTTGTCCAGTTTTTTAATATGCTTCTTCAGGTATGGCCTCCATACAGGTGTTGTATACTCCAAGATGGGCCTGCATGCATGTGCATTTGCTTGTGAAAATCTTTTAAAGTTCAATATATGTATATTTGTATGTAAAACTTGTTTGACATGTTCAGTTATGACTTAGTGGTATTCAATATACATTCTCTGTATATTGTACATGGTTTAGTAATTCACAAAATACAATGTAATATTCCTGGAATAGACATAAAAATAATAGATACTAATATCAGAAGGAAGCACTAAACCTACATATAGTAGTCATAGAGCGTGTGGAATGAGAACCATTCAGGTTTGATCCGAGGGGCACAATAATTCTTTAATTCCTTGGATGAAGAGCTTCTAATCAGCATCAACGTCCTTCCCTTGAGAGGGTAATATTCTTAAGGTGTAATTTTGAAAACTCCTGGAAACTATCCCTAATAAAACCCCAGGGTAGCTAAAATATTAAGCATTACAAAAGCTAGGTTGGCTTTCATTTTTTTAATTCTTGTGGCTCTTTAACCCCTTCAGAGTCCAAGGCCAAAATCTGAAGTGGTGCCCCAGTGTCCAAGAATTTTCCCCCCAAAAATTTATTTTTTCTTATGAAATGGTAGAGAATCTTTTTGTGAAGGTAATAAAACGAAAAGTACGAAATTTTATGGAAAATTGGTGAAGTTATGCTCTCGCGAATTTTGATGTGTCAGCGATATTTACGAATCGGCAATTTTTGCCGACTTTGACTCCCATTTTAGGCCAATTACATCATTCCAGTCGACCAAATTCTTAGCTATTTCACTAGTATTACTTCTATTCTATCGATTGAGCACAAGAAATAGCCAAGTCAACTGTTTCAACTACAAAATAAAGTGATCGGAAATTGGTAATTTGGCCAATTTAACACAAAGTTCAAAATATTCCAATTTCAAAATAGCGTCCAGAATAAACAATGTAGGTATTCCTGGCACTAAACTAACATTTCCTCTGTTCATTAGTTGTTTTGAGGCTTTACAAATAAATCCCATTTTGATTTTTTATTCACAATGAATTTTTATTCGCACCAAAAAATAGAAGATTTACTGTTATGCAATATTGTAATATGTAATTGTATAAATATCATCACCACATTTGTGAATGTATATTAGACCTACCAGCTGGCGTGTATTAGATGTGTGAGGTCGTTTGTTTACTCTTGAACATTGGCAAAAATTTAACATTTCTGCTACTTTGAGCTCAGTTTCAAGCCATTTCCAGTGCTAAAACCAATCAAAATCATCTCTATTTCTGTAATATGTCTTCCATTCTATCAAATAAGACCAAGAAATTGCAAATACAACTATAAGAAACATACGAAAAAACACTGCAAAGTTGCTGTTTTAATCGAAAATCTTGGTTTCTGTTTTTTTCTCTCATTATACACGGTGTGCTGCAGGATTTGTTTTATGTGGTGCACACATACCACAGATGTATTCTCTCATATCTAGGCCCAAGTGTACCACTCACAGTTTATCAGAGTGAGCTGAGCTCATGACGTAGATATACGGTTTGGACCCTGAACGTAGAGCCGTAGATCTACGGGACGGACCCTGAAAGGGTTAAAAACTTTATTATCTTGATTTGCTTTTAAGGCAGTTAGTCCTTCAAAATAACAAGTTGGTCCCTGAAAATGTTCTTGAAAGAATAAGAATTGTTCCTTGTCTTTGTAGGATCCCTGCAGGTGGGTCACCAGAGATTAAGGCTTATGAAAGAAATAATTTAAAAAATAAGAATATACGAAGAGAGGAGCACTGCAATAGGCTGCAGTCGACCTACTGGCCTGTGGTAAAAGCAGTGATGTTAATATTCCTGGTGCTAAAATATGGATCTGTAACAACAGGTTAGATAACATCTGTAGTACAGTGGAACCTCAAAAATCGAACTTAATCCATTCCAGGAGCTAGTTCTAAATTTGAAAAGTCTGAAATTCGAAGCAATATTTCCCATAAGAAATAATGGAAATACAATTAATCCGTTCCAGAAACCCAAAAATATTCACACAAAAAATACATTTTATAGAGATTAATTACAGTTTTACATGCAACAAATACTATAGTTTTTAATTATGTTTAGTAATACATATAAAATAACATTTTTACTTACCTTTATTGAAGATTGGTGATGGCATCTGGAAGATAGGGAGGAGGAGAGAGGGAGTTGGAATTAGTGTTTGGAAGGAGAATCCCCCCTCCATGAGGACTTCAGGTAAAGCCCTCTCTGGGGTTACTTCCCTTCTGTCTTTTAATGCCACTAGGACCAGCTTGAGTCACTGGACCCCTGTCTCACAAAATAACTGTCCACAGTCCTCTGTTTCTGGCGCCTCTTTAACATTTCCCTAAAATGGGACATGGTTCTGTCACTGAACTTGTTGCAAAGATGGCTTGTTTCAGCTTGCTCAGGGTGGTACTTATGCACAAACATTTGGACATCATTCCACTTGGCACGAATCTCCTTAATCTTTGAAGAAGGCACCTCATCCACTCCCTATATTAGCACCTTTTGCAACATCAGCTTCCTTGATTTGTTCTTTCTTTGACAGGATAGAACTGATGGTCGACTTGTTTTTCCCATACATCCTGGCAAGCTCAACAAGTCTCGCACCACTCTCATACTTCTGTATTATTTCCTTCTTCACATCTGTGGTGTTTCTCACTTTCTTTACCACAGGGGTACCACTAGCAAGTTTCTTTGGGCCCATGGCAGCTTATTTCACAGTCCCACAAGCACTAAACACAATGAAATAATTGTAAAATGCGTGAACGAGAGCGCAGGTTAGTGTTCACTCAAGCACAAACAAAGCTAGACTGCTCACGGCGCCTGCGCGGGGACGCGGACAGAGCGGGTGGCAGACAGGTCCCGTACCCGGCGGTCTGAAAATAGGGGCGCGTCCGATAATAGGGACACTGTCCAAAAAAATGGTCCTATTTTCGAAACGTTCGATATGTGATACGTTCGATTTTTGAGGTTCCACTCTATATATAACATTCAGTTGGCAGATTTCAAACGTGTATTGCATTTACCAGACAGAAGACTGAACTTTCACTACTGCTGAAATTGCAGTTAGCAGATGGAGGATTGAACTTCCACAACTCCATGTGCTGGAAAGACTTGCGTGGATTTAACACTTAACATAAATTTCAACTAATTATTGAAGCTTGTGCATTTTATTTATTATATTATCACACTGGCCGATTCCCACCAAGGCTAGTGTGATAATATAATAAATAAAATGCACAAGCTTGTGCATTATATAGAATAAAGGAATTTGTGAAATATTTTGTTTTATGGAAAAAGAATACCGAGTACTAAATTGACTTAAATATCTAAGTAGCTGACATGAAATGTTATGCATCAGTTACCCCTCAAGGAAGGTTCCTTGATGTTGGTGAGGGGCTCTTGATTTAGGAAATTGGATCTGTGCTCCAGTTCCCTGAATTAAGCCTGAATGCCTTCCACATCCCCCCCCCCCAGGCGCTGTATAATCCTCCGGGTTTAGCGCTTCCCCCTTGATTATAATAATAATAATATGCATCAATTAGAAAAATTGATTGATAGAGAGCAGGTCTTAATGAAAGAGGTGTGCAAAGATCATGGTGTCTCAAAATTATATATAGTTAGAAAAATCGTAATAGAATTTGGATAGGGAAAATTTTACTTTGTGAAAGTTTTAAATGACAATGATGGCACCTGTTTTGATTATTTATCATTTTCTTTTTTTCCCTCTAGTATGCATATGGATCCTCAGGAAATGTGGCCATTGGGGTTCCCCCTGGGGCTACTATAGAATATGATGTTGAGATGAGGAGCTTTGTCAAGGGTAAAGAGTCTTGGGAGATGGATCAGGAAGAGAAAATTGAACAAGCTAAGGCATGCAAAGATCGAGGAACAAATTTCTTAAAGCAGCAGAAATATCAACTAGCAGCAAAACAGTACAAGAAGATCATTGATCTTCTGGAGAATGACTCTGGTGAGTACTGTACTCTGAAATTGTTAATGATAAAGGCTTGTAATTGTGAGATGCTAAAAGATTATTTGTTAGGGAGTGAATAGTTTACTTGAATATTTGTTTAATTGACATAGGCAGACATTTTATCCATTTTATATTATGTACCTACTGAACTAGGCTTCCTCTTAACTTTTAACACAAGCTAGCGAAAAAGTTTAATAATCTTTTATGAATGTGCTTTCTCTTATTTTTAATGTTCAGTAGGATTAGTATGTTCCTGCATATTTTTACAGGCTAATTGAATGCATAAATTACATCTGCATCATAACCCTTGCATTGTTACTGTCAGTTTTCATTACATTATGTGCATAGACTAATATTCATATTGGCAGTTTTCGTGTTCATATTTATTTGAATTACTTTTGGACAAAATACTGCCTATACTGTTTGCTTCGACAGGCTTGATTCTTTTATGTGATTAATACAATGCTTGCATTCTGAAGGAGGGGTGAGAATGTTGCAGTTTGGAAAGTCATTTAAAGTGTGATGGCTGCATGTATCTCACTTGTGTTAAAAAAATATCTTTTCTCCATAATATTTTTTTTTTTTTAACACATCGGCCATTCCTCACCAAGGCAGGGTGATCTAAAAAGAAAAAAAAGTACTTTCACCATCACTCATATAATCACTGTCTTTGCAGAGGCACTCAGATATGACAGTTTAGAAGTCCCTCCAAACTGCCAATATCCCAGACCCCTCTTTTAAAGTGCAGGCATTATACTTCCCACCTCCAGGTCTCCTTGAATGCCGTCACAAAATATTACCCTGCTCATATTTCATCAACTCGTCAAGTCCCAAACGCCATTCATATTTGCTCACTCCTATTTAATATACTCACACATGCCTGTTGTATGCCCAATCCCCTTGTACACAAAACCTCTCTTACCTCCTCCCTCCATCCTTTTCTAGGATGACCCTCTCTCTCTCCCTCCCTCCACTACAGATTTATAAACCCTCCAAGTCATCCTATTGTGCTCCATCCTCTCTAAATGACCAAACCACCTCAACAATCTCCCGTCAGCCCTCTGAATAATACTTTTCGTAACTCCACACCTAATGTCCACACTATGAATTCTCTGCATAATATTTACGCCACACATTGCTCTTAGACAGGACATCTCCACTGCTTCCAGCCGCCTCCGTGCTGCATCATTCATAACCCAAGCTTCACACCCATATAAGAGTGTTGGTACCACTGTACTCTCATACATTCCTTTCTTTGCCTCCATGGATAACATTCTGCCTCCACATATACCTCAATACACCATCCACCTTTTTTTTCTTCATCAGTTCTATGGTTTACCTCGTCCTTCATAAACCCATCCACCGACAAGTCTACTCCCAAATATCTGAACACATTCACTTCTTCCATACTCACTCCCTCCAGTCTGATATCCATTTTTTTTTCTTTTTTATATCCTCATCACCTGGCCCCTTGCTGCCGGCATTTTAGTTGCCTTTTTACGACATGCATGGCTTATGAAGGAAGAATTCTGTTCCATTTCCCCATGGAGATAAGAGGAAACAAGAACAAAAACTAGTAAGAAAATAGAAGAAAACCCATAGGGTTGTGTATATATGTGCTTGTACATGTATGTGTAGTGTGACCTAATTGTTCGTAGAAGTAGCAAGACTTGCCTGAAATCTTGCATATTTGTACCTCCCTGGACAGTTGCTGTCTACCAGCCTGCTACCTAGGAAAGTTTTTCTTATTTGTAATATTTAAATTAAAAACAAAATACTTGCATAAAACAGGTTCTCTCTCTCTCCTGTTCCCTCTCATTCCCCTCTCTCATTTCTTCCCTCACTCTCCCATCACATCTGATGCAACACTTGAACATGCTGTCCTCATCGCCTCATTGTTATAGTGAGGTTGACAAGTGCTTAGACATGTGGTATGGAAAGAAGGTAAGGCTGTATTGAGGGTAGCAAATGCCTGGTGTATAGTGAGAGGAAATTTGTGGTGAGGTTGGCATCCTCTACTTTATATTATGGCATCACTGTACTGGTGATAGGGTAGACAAATCCAGTTATGTAACCTGGACTGATGGTATTTTGCGCAAACAGTGGGTTTTATCACGTCGCAAACATCTGTTTAATTTGATAAAGCCCACCTCATGGGCAAAATCTTGTCAATAACAGTTCCATATAGCTTTATTAGTCTATGTACCAGTTGTATTGGTATCACGTACTATTACATACCCATCACCTGACTGAACAGGAACTTTAGCAGTAATTTCAATAACTGCAGTGAAGTTCTTAACAATATTTTTTTTTTTTTTTTATTATCACACCGGCCGATTCCCACCAAGGCAGGGTGGCCCGAAAAAGAAAAACTTTCACCATCATTCACTCCATCACTGTCTTGCCAGAAGGGTGCTTTACACTACAGTTTTTAAACTGCAACATTAACACCCCTCCTTCAGAGTGCAGGCACTGTACTTCCCATCTCCAGGACTCAAGTCCGGCCTGCCGGTTTCCTGAATCCCTTCATAAATGTTACTTTGCTCACACTCCAACAGCACGTCAAGTATTAAAAACCATTTGTCTCCATTCACTCCTATCAAACACGCTCACGCATGCCTGCTGGAAGTCCAAGCCCCTCGCACACAAAACCTCCTTTACCCCCTCCCTCCAACCCTTCCTAGGCCGACCCCTACCCCGCCTTCCTTCCACTACAGACTGATACACTCTTGAAGTCATTCTGTTTCGCTCCATTCTCTCTACATGTCCGAACCACCTCAACAACCCTTCCTCAGCCCTCTGGACAACAGTTTTGGTAATCCCGCACCTCCTCCTAACTTCCAAACTACGAATTCTCTGCATTATATTCACACCACACATTGCCCTCAGACATGACATCTCCACTGCCTCCAGCCTTCTCCTCGCTGCAACATTCATCACCCACGCTTCACACCCATATAAGAGCGTTGGTAAAACTATACTCTCATACATTCCCCTCTTTGCCTCCAAGGACAAAGTTCTTTGTCTCCACAGACTCCTAAGTGCACCACTCACTCTTTTTCCCTCATCAATTCTATGATTCACCTCATCTTTCATAGACCCATCCGCTGACACGTCCACTCCCAAATATCTGAATACGTTCACCTCCTCCATACTCTCTCCCTCCAATCTGATATTCAATCTTTCATCACCTAATCTTTTTGTTATCCTCATAACCTTACTCTTTCCTGTATTCACCTTTAATTTTCTTCTTTTGCACACCCTACCAAATTCATCCACCAATCTCTGCAACTTCTCTTCAGAATCTCCCAAGAGCACAGTGTCATCAGCAAAGAGCAGCTGTGACAACTCCCACTTTGTGTGTGATTCTTTATCTTTTAACTCCACGCCTCTTGCCAAGACCCTCGCATTTACTTCTCTTACAACCCCATCTATAAATATATTAAACAACCACGGTGACATCACACATCCTTGTCTAAGGCCTACTTTTACTGGGAAAAAATTTCCCTCTTTCCTACATACTCTAACTTGAGCCTCACTAATCCTCGTAAAAACTCTTCACTGCTTTCAGTAACCTACCTCCTACACCATACACTTGCAACATCTGCCACATTGCCCCCCTATCCACCCTGTCATACGCCTTTTCCAAATCCATAAATGCCACAAAGACCTCTTTAGCCTTATCTAAATACTGTTCACTTGTATGTTTCACTGTAAACACCTGGTCCACACACCCCCTACCTTTCCTAAAGCCTCCTTGTTCATCTGCTATCCTATTCTCCGTCTTACTCTTAATTCTTTCAATTATAACTCTACCATACACTTTACCAGGTACACTCAACAGACTTATCCCCCTATAATTTTTGCACTCTCTTTTATCCCCCTTGCCTTTATACAAAGGAACTATGCATGCTCTCTGCCAATCCCTAGGTACCTTACCCTCTTCCATACATTTATTAAATAATTGCACCAACCACTCCAAAACTATATCCCCACCTGCTTTTAACATTTCTATCTTTATCCCATCAATCCCGGCTGCCTTACCCCTTTCATTTTACCTACTGCCTCACGAACTTCCCCCACACTCACAACTGGCTCTTCCTCACTCCTACAAGATGTTATTCCTCCTTGCCCTATACACGAAATCACAGCTTCCCTATCTTCATCAACATTTAACAATTCCTCAAAATATTCCTTCCATCTTCCCAATACCTCTAACTCTCCATTTAATAACTCTCCTCTCCTATTTTTAACAGACAAATCCATTTGTTCTCTAGGCTTTCTTAACTTGTTAATCTCACTCCAAAACTTTTTCTTATTTTCAACAAAATTTGTTGATAACATCTCACCCACTCTCTCATTTGCTCTCTTTTTACATTGCTTCACCACTCTCTTAACTTCTCTCTTTTTCTCCATATACTCTTCCCTCCTTGCATCACTTCTACTTTGTAAAAACTTCTCATATGCTAACTTTTTCTCCCTTACTACTCTCTTTACATCATCATTCCACCAATTGCTCCTCTTCCCTCCTGCACCCACTTTCCTGTAACCACAAACTTTGCTGAACACTCTAACACTACATTTTTAAACCTACCCCATACCTCTTCGACCCCATTGCCTATGCTCTCATTAGCCCATCTATCCTCCAATAGCTGTTTATATCTTACCCTAACTGCCTCCTCTTTTAGTTTATAAACCTTTACCTCTCTCTTCCCTGATGCTTCTATTCTCCTTGTATCCCATCTACCTTTTACTCTCAGTGTAGCTACAACTAGAAAGTGATCTGATATATCTGTGGCCCCTCTATAAACATGTACATCCTGAAGTCTACTCAACAGTCTTTTATCTACCAATACATAATCCAACAAACTACAAATGACCAAATGACCAACAAATGACCTCATTATTGGCCAAAATACTTTTGGCCAATACTGTTTTACATCAATGTTTTGTGTAGATGTGTGTTAATTATGTAGGCATTTTTGTGTGTCTTGTATATAAGGTAGGTTTCATTCTTATATTATGAATCCATAATAGGTGTGGTGTATAATCTCTTGTATTTCAGGATTGGATGATGAGAAAAATGCTGAGAGGCATACAGTTCTACTTGCAGGACATTTGAATTTAGCAATGGCTTATCTTAAACTGAATGAAAACACTCTTGCGCAAGAACATGCTAGCAAGGCCCTTGAAATGGATAAGAAAAATGTTAAAGCTTATTTCAGAAGAGGCCAAGTAAGTCTCTGCTTTAAACTAGGTATTAAAATTTAGTGAATATATCCTCAGGATTTACACTTATATACCCTATATATGCCTGTTTATTGTCTTGCTTTCTGTGTGTGTCATAATTTTAAATTTCCAGAGATTATAGCATTTTCCACCACCTTTTGGATACCATTCCATTGTTTTACCACTAGAAAAAATGCTTGGAGTATAATTTTGGTACCTCTATTTTCTTGGTTTATAACTGTAGCCTCTTGTTCTATCTGCTGGTGTTAAGAATCTGGTTTTTCTTATAACTTTATAACCTTGAGTGAGAAGTAGGGGCATTCTGGGAATGGTGGCTTATTGATCCCTACAACGCACAGAAATAAACCTTGATTATAACTGTTTTTGATGGGTGATAGTTTGAATTTAACTCTAATTTTCTGTATCTTTATAATCCTTACACCTTCAAGTGTGAAACAATAGACTCGACCCATAAAGCCCATTCTCTAATACTGTGTATATTCAACATGTTATTTACTATATGCCTACCAGCAACTGGAAGAAAAAAAAATATTGTCCTCGGTTTGCACAGAAAGAATGGACTTAATAAGTTTCTTTTTTGTGTGTGTGTGTGTGTGTGTATGTGTGGATATGCAGAAATGATTGTAGAAGAAAATGAAGCCATTTCACCTAAATTTCTTATTCCAGGAAGTATTTGTGAATGCACTCTATATTATATAAGTGCAGTTTGAAATACATTTATCAGTTTATCTGCATTTTATACTTGGACTCTATCATTTCATCACTAAAATGTTACATAGTATGCTTAAGAAAACCAGCAAAATTGCTTCTCACTTTAACAGATAAATCTTCCAAAAATTAGACATGATCTAAAAAACTAGATTTCAAGTATCAGTGAAGCTTATCTTAAAGTCTGAAAAGTGAATTGTTCACTGGAGATGTGACTGAAGGAGAAACAGGAATATAACAGATTTAAAAGTACTGGAAACTTCTGAACCTATCAAAGCTCACTTTTCTAAACCCTCCCATTCAAAAAAAAAAAAAAAAAAAAAAAAAAAATTAAATTGTATAATAAAAAGGGTGAATACCCTGAGATAAATCATAGCAGAGGATTGTGTATCAGAATTTTGAATAAAGTGTTAGTAAAGAAATAATGAGAAAAGATTAATCAAAAACAGTTGATTTATTTTTGGTAAGAGCTAATTATTTCACATTTCTATATTATATCACACTCGGCAGTTATAATGTATTTGTCATAGTAGATAACAATCTGGTTATTGAATATTTCTGTATCATAATAACTAACCAGAATGTGCTAAAAAATTAATTTTCTGTTGCTGTTGGCATAGCTTTGAAGACTTGTAATGTAGTGTTTTGCTGAAACCCACCCCCAACTCCCTCACCTTTTCTCTTATTTTTACTTTTCCTGGATCCTTCAAGGGGGGTACCCTTTATTGTGGTGAAGGGCTCTTGATCAGAGAAATTAGGCCTTTTGTCTTCTCCTCCCCTCCTTGAATTGAATCTGATTACCCCCCTCCTCTTCCTATCCATTCAGCCTTCGATAATATTCCCCTTATATTTACAGTTTTAGGTTGAGAGAGAGAAAGTTATCCATACCATTCGAGTGAGGCTCTTGGTGGTGTTTGCCGGGAATTGGATCACTTGGGGATGTGCTCATCTGCTCATCTTCGTGTATGCTTAAGGTGAAGGGTGTATCCCTGAACGCTGCCTGTCAGTTCTAGGAGGTGGCAGCCAAAGGGGGTATGCCTCATGGTAGATTTCCAGCCACTCATCTCTCTTGTCTACCAAGATTGCTTGGTGGATATGAGGATACCATTCTGGAATGCTGGTATACTGGCATGAAGGGTAGGATAGGGAATGGTGTCCATGTGGCATCAGCCTACCTGTCACACCGAGGGTACTCGTGGACACGGATGTGTGGCCTTTTCTCATTGGAGCTGCCCCTTTTATTCCCCCTTCTCCCACTTTTCTTTTTTTTGGGGGGGGAGAGGGAAAGGAAAACCTAACCATGGACGATTGTACCTATATTTACCTCCTTCCGGGCCCCTTCTTTCCTCTGCGGCACCCTTACATAACCCTGGCAGCCCATGGACCTTTCTGCGTTACTGCCTTTCAGCAACACTGTTGCCTGATTCCAGTGCTGGAGTTCTGGCCGAACCTTTTGATACCTCGGACCTTTATGCATCTGTGACCATATTTTCAGCTCCCCCTACTACAGTGTGTAGCTTTTCAGGTGGTTTGCACATCACAGAATGGATTTATTAGCTCAAGGCCTCCATCCAAGCAACCTCAACCTATAATCCATGATACTGATATTGTTACTAGCACTAATCACTCCTATTCTCAGAATCAAGCTTCTCAAAAATTTTCCCTCCTTTTCCCTATTTCAAGGATGCTTCTGGATGACATTCTTCTCATCAACCAATGATACCCCTGGATTATCTTACTGATCACAGTATCAGCAAAGTACTCTTGAAGCATGTTGGAAAAAATGTTTCCTTCCATGCCCTAAAGAGTGGAATGTGCATTTTCTCTGTGCAGAATCCTAAGCAAGCTCACTATCTCTTCCCCCTTCATTCTATTGATGATACTCCTGTCAAAATTTGAAAACATTCTCTCATCTCAAGCTCCAGCACTGTCCTTATTTTGCCTACCATAGACCAACAGGACTATAGTATGTAAAATAAGTTGCTCCAAACATTCTGGAGCAACTTGAGCTCCAGAACCTACTGGTTCTCAAAGCAGAAACTGATGTCCTTCCTGCTCGAGGTTGAAAATGTTAGCCTTGCAATATTGCCATATTAACCTTTGACTGCCGAGTATCCAGTCTCGGTGTATATAGGAGGACAGTGTTTGTAAGTGCTGGAATTAATTCTTAGACCACAACAGTGCAAAAATTTGTAATGTTTTAGCCACCCACCCAAGTACAGTGGAACCTCAAATATCGAACTTTCTTCAGTCTAGAAGGCCGTTCGAGTGCCTTTACCGAATTAATTTATTCCCATCAGGAATAATGTAAATTAGATTAGTCCATTTCAGACCCTCAAAAATACACTTATAAAAGCACTTACAAAAATACACTTACATAATTGGTTGTGTTAGGAGCAGTTCGATTTTCGAGGTTCCACTGTATTGTAGGCACTGGCAGAATGCCCAATCTGCATTACAGCTGACCATAGCAATTCATCCTGTAGCATTGTCAATTCACCATATCTTAATAGATTGTCCTGTCTATCAGGGCCAGGCAGAATTTGTTTCCGACATTTCCACTATCCCAACGCACTTGCCCTAACTGACTTCCTTGTTGAAAGTTCCACCTTTGACTTTTAAACAGAAACTAACTTATTACACAAATAAATTTTATTTTACCTTTTGTGCCCTCCACTACCCCCATTAACCCTTACCCTTGCACATTTCTGACCCCTCACTCATTCTGCAACTTCACATATTCATCCTCTGGGATACCCCTCCCTGCAGAGTTGTACTATCCTTCTGGGTTTGGTACTTAGTCTGGTTATATTAGTATTACCATTTTTCCTGGAATGGTTCCTATGGATGCTTTTGGTTATGTGCCTTGCTACTGTCATCAGTAGTGCCAACATGTTTACTTACTGTTTGGTGTAGTCTCTACAAAAAAAATTCAGAAAGCAATCTATATTTTCAGCAATTCCTATGTTCTTAGCCTTTTCATTAACTTTTTATCAGAGTACATCATCACTGTTTTTCAACTCTTCACCAGCCTTCTATGTTTTTATCCACAGGTTATTGTTCCTACCTTGACTGCCACAGATTTGTAAAGTTTTGTCTTTGCTTTCAATTAAACTCTGTATCCTACTTGTTAATTCTCTGATGTGCATGCCCTTGTGTAAGGTGTAGTGCAAAGTAGCCCTCAGTTAAGTCTAACCATTTCATGGGTACAAACATATTATCTTCCCACAGGCATACATGAACATGGGTGAAGCTCAGTTAGCCAAAAAGGATTTTGAGGCTTGTCTTGACTTGGAGCAAACTAATAAAGCAGCAAAGCAGCAGTTACATCACTGTATTGCCAGGATCAAAGCAGATAAATTGAAAGAGAAGCAGATATATGGTGGAATGTTTGATAAGTTTGCTAGACAGGACAGAGTGGTAAGATTACTGTTCAAAATGTAATTTTGTGAATTGCTGAACCCTGGAGTTAAATGTAGCTATTTATAACAAAACCAAATAATGATAATTTATTCTATTTTCTTTGACTCATGTTTACTGTATTACAAAATTTTTACTTAATTTTTTTACTTTTAAGTTTGAATAAGTTATTACTTAAAAAAAAAAAAAATATATGTATCCACTACAGGTTCAGTACTTCCTCTTGATTATACAAATAGTAATGTTGGTGAAAGGCTCTTGATCTGAGAAATTAGCCTATTTTCTCCCATTCCACAGGTGCTTTGTGATCCTTACAGATTTCATGCTGCCCTATGAATATTATAGTATAAAAGACCTATTGTATATGTGAATCAGTTATATGATCAAAGGCCAATTCATTGACCTTGAATGCAGCAAATTGTTGGTGCATTTATAAAAAATGTTAGAATGTCATTTAAGTGATAATCACTGAGGTAGTGATTTCATGGGATGATCAGATGTCTCGTATTTTGTTACAGAGAGAAGCCGAGGCCAGCAACAAGGATGTAAAACAAGGTGATGGTGAATGGAGCATTGCTGAAGAGAAGAATGATGCTGTGAAAAGTGAAAAAGTTTGTTAATATTGATTCGGTTGCACATTCTTAATTTTGCAACCTTTCACTGCTGTGACTTTTGTGGCATGTAGTAATTTGTGCAGGAATGTAACATTACACATCTTAAAATTCTTTATTAATGTATAGCAGCCCTTGATCTCTAATATATGGCTTTTAAATTTGTTTTAAAAAAATGTACATACTTTCCTATAGTATCTTTTTTTTTTTTTTTTTTTTTTTTTTTTTTTTTTTGAGTTTTAAAATGAGAAAAATAACAGGTGGGCTAAGACCCATATTTAGTACTGTTTGTTTCAGAAGTTGTTATAAGTGATAATAAATATAGTAGCAGTACACACTTTACATATTGTTTATTTAATTTGTATGACCCACCTGACATGGTGTTTATAATGCTAACGAGTAGTAGATTGATATTACTGGTATTGCTTTGTACGTAGTCAGTTGCTCATTATCCAGCGATCTGTTATTCAGCTTCCACCATTATTTGGCTCTTGTAGTTTATTCAGCTTCACCATTATCCACAGGTCTTGTTTGATCAGTTCATTAAATATAATTAAACAATGTAAACTACTCAGTTGAGTGCTTCTCTTTCCTTTCCTTCCCCTCACTCCCATTTCATTTCTCCTTTTTCCTTACCTCATTGTCTCATTCCTTCCCTCTTGCATTTATTCTTTCCCACACTACATCTTGGCAGTAATAATACTGCCTCTCTTCCACTCTTATATTTAACATCTGTTTATACTGTACACCATCATTCACACACAATCACTGTCTTTGCAGAAGCGCCCAGATACAACAGTTCAGGTGTCGCTTCAAACAGTCAATATCCCAAACCCTTCCTTTAAAGTGCAGGCATTGTACTTCCCACCTTTGGGACTTGAGTCTGGCTAACCAGTTTCCCTGAATCCCTTCACAAAATATTACCCTGCTCACACTCCAACAGCTCGTCAAGTTCCAAAAACCATTCACCTCCATTGACTCGTATCTGACTTGCTCACATATGCCTGCTGTATGTCCAAGCCCCTTGCACACAAAACATCTTTTACCCCTCATTTGTAGATATTATGCATGTAATATAGTAATAGCTGCTAACATGGCCATGAAACAACAAAATAAAAAGCAATGAGATAAAACAGAAAACATGCTATTGTTAATGTTGTCAGGAACCTGGTTTCCAATGTTTGTAAGCTAGCTAGTAATGCTGACTAGCGACAGAATGACTATGGATGAAAGCCATTTCACTCGGCACACTATTTCAGAATTTAGGACATTTTAGTAACACCACCCCATCTCTTCCACTACTTCCAACACTGCCACCATCCCAACATTACCTCCAAACCTCAACTTGATAACACTACTCATTCCCTTCCTATCCCCATCCACTCATACCAGTATCCTTCCTCCCAATCCCCACCCATCTACCCTCACTACCCTAATCCTTACCCAGGGGCAAGAAGCCCCTGTCATGCCTCAGCATTCTATGGAGAGGGAGCATGGCCACGGGTCATCCCACACTCGCTATAAACAAGAGACATAGCCCCACTCTACAAAGTTGGCAGTAAAGCAGTTGCAAAGCACTACAGACCAATAGCACTAACATCCCATATATAAATCTTTGAAAGGGTTCTAAGAAGCAAGATTGCCAACCACCTAGATACCCATCAGTTACACAACCCAAGGCAACATGGGTTGAGAGCAGGTCACTCCTGCCTGTCCCAGCTACTGGACCACTATGACAAGGTCCTGGATGCTATAGAGGATAAAAATACAGATGTAGTAGATACAGACTTTGCAAAAGCCTTTGACAAGTGCAACCATGGTGTAATGGCGCACAAAATGTGTGATGAAGGAATAACAGGAAAAGTTAGTAGATGAATCTATAACTTCCTAACAAACAGAACACAGTAATAGTAAACAGAGTAAAGTCTGAGACAGCTATGGTGAAAAGCTCTGTTCCCCGAATTAAGCCTGAATGCCTTCCACATCCCCCCCCAGGCGCTGTATAATCCTCCGGGTTTAGCGCTTCCCCCTTGATTATAATAATAATAATCCACAAGGCACAGTACTTGTTTCCCATCCTATTCCTCATCATATTTGACAGAGATGTAAGCCATAGCTCAGTGTCTTCCTTTGCAGTTGACACCCGAATTGCCATGACAGTGTCCTCCATTGAAGACACCGCAAGACCACAAGCGAACATCAACCAAATTTTCAAATGGGCCACTCAAAACAACTACTCAGATATGGAAAACTTGAGGAAATTAAAACTGTATCCGTGTATACAACAAATTGTAACCATACAATACAGCAAAAAAGTAATGTGAAGGACCTGGGAGCATTAATGTCAAAGGATTTCACCTTCAAAGACCACAACAATGTATCGACTGCATCGGCTAGAAAAATGATAGGATGAATAAAGGGAACCTTCAAAACTATTGACTGCCAAGCCCATGATGATTCTCTTCAAATCACTTGTTCTCTCTAGGCTGGAATACTGCTGTACACTAGCTTCCCCTTCAAGGCAGGTGAAATTGCTGACCTAGTGTGTACAAAGAACTTTCACAGCACATATAAGTACGATAGAGCACCTAAATTACTGGGAACAGTTGAAGTCCCTTGATTTGCATTCCCTGGAATGCAGGCAAGAGATATTAATAATATACACCTGGAAAATCCTAGAGGGATTAGTACGAAACTTGCACACAAAAATCACTCCCAACGAAAGCAAAAGACTTGGCAGGAGATGCAACATTCCCCAAATGAAAAGCAGGGGCTCCATGAGTACATTGAGAGACAACACAATAAGTGTCAGGGGCTCAAAACTGTTCCACTGCCTCCCAGCATATGTATGGGGGATTACCAATAGACCCCCTGGCTGTCTTCAAGAAAGCACTGGACTGGCACCTTAAGTCAGTACCTGACCAGCTGGGCTGTGGTTCATATGTCAGTTTGCATGCAGCCAGCAGTAACAGCCTGGTTGATCAGACCCTGATCCACCATGGGGACATTGACCCCTGAAACCCTCTAGGTGTACCCTATCTACCCTAATCCTTTCCCACCTACCATCTCTACCCTAATTCTTACCCACCTACCCTCTACCCAAATCACCACCCACCTACCCTCTACCCTAATCCCCACCCTTCTACCCTCTCTACCCTAATCCCCACCCTTCTACCCTCTCTACCCTAATCCTTACCCACCCACCTCCACTACCATAATTCCCACCCACCTTCCTTCCTCTCTACACTCCCCTTCTTCCCTTCCCTAATGTACTGAACACCTAAATAGTTAATGCTGAAAATTGTTATGCAAAAATTTGAAACTAAAAACAATCATTATCCAGTATAATAGAAAATCCAGTGTGTCCATCACATTTTGATTGATTTCCCTGAATTACTGAGTGAGTCATACACAAATAACCCGCACATTGACTTTGTCAATGGTCCAAGTCGGACCGAAACGTCGTCGTAAGCTTCTCTCTCTTATGTGCGGGTTATTTGTGTATCGTTCCAGTCACGGTATTGTGCCTTTTTGTTATTTATTTGAGTGAGTCATCTTTTCTTCTACTCTTTCAATGCCATGTCATGCTTATGGTCTCCCTCTCTCCAGAAGTCCCACTTTTGATTCATATTTTTTCCTGCAATCTTGATACACCAGCTTGTTTTTTCATACCCATCCTTCACACACATTGCAACTGAGTTTTTAGCCTTCATTTTTTTACCATTTTTTTCTATATGCAGTACCAAATAACCCATTCAGGTTTAGATTTTAGTGCTTTTGCATGACTATCTGAGGAGAGACCTTTGTTGGCTGTATTAAAGCTTTTAAGGAATATTGGCACTATGAGGGACCCGTAGATTCAAGCATTGTACATACTTGCAAAATTATGTGCTTAACCAATTTTTTTCTGAATGCTTTCATGAAAATTACCATGCTTACACTCCAGCAGAAGGTAAAATTAAAACAAAAACATTTGATTTCACTGTAACACCACATGCTTCATTCTAAAACCCCAGTTTTTAAAAATAACTTTCACACCTTCCAATCTTTCCCCAGATAGTCTCTACATTCTCCTTTTTTTTTTTTTTTTTTTTTTTTCCAAGATTTTTTCACATTTGTACCCTTCAAAGGTGTTTCCTTTACACAAGTAAACCCTGCGATTTTGGCTTAAATAGCAACGCTCTTCTTGCTGAATAAGGCAAGCAAAAATTTGTGTGTACAATAATTTCGCAAAAATCATTCTGAACCTAGCGAAAAAAAATATATTTCATTGTGTTTGTGTATTATTAAATTACTGTAAACTTATCTAAAATATATATAGTTGGATTAGGCTAAATTAAATTGCACTTGTTATAATAAGGTTAGTTAAGTTTTCTAAGGTTCTTTTGGTACAAAATTAAATTAACATAAACAAAAAAATATTTAAATGAATAAGAGAAAATTTTAGAAAATACTTAATTTTCAACGAGTTCTTGCTAATTGACCAGTTTTACCATATACTGTACGTATATTATTACCTAATTCATATAACCACTCACTTTGTCACTTTGACTTTTTTTGGGTTATCCTAGGTAATTTATGTGTATGATAATTGTACTTACGTGTACCTGTTCCTAAGTAAACTTAATGTGTAATGAAACTAGCAAAGTACCACACCCTTTCCCTTAATTTTAAAAAAAAAAAAAAAAAAAAAAACACTGCAGAGAAATAAATATTCTATCACACAGATTAAATGTAAGTATTGTCTGATAAGCTTGGGCACTGGCACTGTCAGGCTGCCGTGGAACATAACCTTATATGGCCTTGTATTGAGCGATGACCATATTTGGTAATGTTTGTGGTTGTGAGAAGGGTGAGTAAGTGACTTATCAGAGGAACTTGCTTATCTGAGGGCCGTGGGTGGTGTGCTCCAATACAACGATAACATAGTAAGGTATTGATAAGGTACTAGTACCGTCACTTTGATCACTCAGTCAATATTCATAACATCCATTAGGTTAGGGTAGTTACTGCATGAACAAAAAGTGTTTGTATAGTTTAGTTAGTTTAATATCTTTATTATGCACCCCATACCCATCCTGTGGTAGTCAGAAGATTGCAGAGGTACATAATGGGTCCAGGAACTGGACCCCAAAGTTTTGATAGCTCAACAAGTTACAAAGGTAACAAACACCAGGTAAATCTGGTCACATTTATGACCAAGTTACAGAGGTAATGAATCATCTACACACTATATATGGTTACAATCATGAACAAATTACAAAGTAATGAGCCATTCACATGTCCATACTCAGTCACAACTGCAATGAGTTATTAATGCAAATATTAATTGGGTCACACACACACACACACTCCGAAGTGTCCCTGTTTGCAGATGATGTGAAGTTGATAAGAATTCAATCAGACGAGGACCAGGCAGAATTACAATGGGATCTGGACAGGCTGCAGGCCTGGCCCAGCAGCTGGCTCCTGGAGTTCAACCTCACCAAGTACAAAGTCATGAAGATTGGGGAAGGCCAAAGAAGACCACAGAGTAGAGTCTAGGGAGCCAGAGACTACAAACCTCACTCAAGGAAAAGGATCTTGGGGTGAGTATAACACCGGGCACATCTGAGGTGCACATCAACCAAATAACTGCTGCAGTATACGGGCGCCTGGCAAACCTAAGAACAGCATTCTGACATCTTAATAAGGAATCATTCAGGACCCTGTACACTGTGTATGTTAGGCCCATATTGGAGTATGCGGCACCAGTTTGGAACCCACTCCTAGCCAAGCATGAAAGGAAACTAAGAGAAACTGCAAAGTTTGCAACAAGACTAGTCCCGGAGCTAAGGGGTATGTCTTACGAGGAGAGGTTAAGGGAAATTGACCTGACGACACTGGAAGACAGGAGAGAGAGGGGGGAATGGGTGTGATAATGACATAAAATACTGAGAGGAATCGACAAGGTGGACAGACAGGATGTTCCAGAGATGGGACACAGCAACAAGGGGTCACAGTTAGAAATTGAAGACTCAGATGAACCACAAGGATGTTAGGAAGTATTTCTTCAGTCACAGAGTTGTCAGAAGTGGAACAGTCTGGGAAGTGATGTAGTGGAGGCAGGATCCATGCATAGTTTTATGTTTTAAGAAGTATGATAAAGTTCATGGAGCAGGAAGAGTGACCTAGTAGCAGCCAGTGAAGAGGCGGGGCCAGGAGCTGTTTCCATCCCTTCAACCACAAATAGGTGAGTATACACACTCTGCACCCTGGGTTTCCAGCCCGGGTTTGGCCTTGAGAAGCCTTATAACTTAATTTAAATTTCCATATATTTTATGTACAAAATCCTCAACAAAACTGCACCACCAAATAAATAAAAAAAAAGGCGGTATTGTAAAAATAAACTAAAACGGTGTCTAAAAGAAATCTCAAGATTTTCCCCAATAGCCTAGACATTGTACAGTTTCATCCCAGTTAGATCACAGATCCTTGGTTCGTTGAAAAAATATGCACTCAAGTTCATAAGAGAATTAGGTAACAATTTTCAAAGCAACAAGCTTTTTTTTTAATGTGTGGTGACTCAGAGGAAATGCTTTTTGTATCTTAGATAAACGACCTACTTCGAGGACCTAGACGAAATTTTCTGAAATATAAGTGTTATGTCGTCACAAATGTTATTTTCAATGTATTCATTAAAATAAAAGCTTATATTGTGCCTACTGTTAATTTTCCTTCTTGAGTTACAACAGGAGGAGGCTGTAGCCCCAGAGATCTTCACACTTGATGTGATCGATTACATTCAGTATTCAATGCTTCTAGAACTTAATATATAAATTTATTCCTTGTTTTTTAATTACATCGTTTATGTTTGTATTTGCTTCTTTTGTTTTTTACTTTGTCTAAATTGCTTCGTGTCTACACAAAATTTTTCCCATGGAACTTACGTCAGAAGATTGAGGCTAATTTCCGGATGGAATATGAAGTGTTAGTAATGGTTGAGCAGTGAGCACATCATGGTAGAAGAACGACCGCACCTGAAGATTGTCGGTGAAGCAAGAAGATAACAGCGATAAGAGATGCATGTGGGACGCCTAACTAACTAGTGACTAGGGAATGCCACTCAAGCAAATATATGCACCTTAGCTGCTGTTGTTGGCCCTAGATATAGCTATAATGTATTAAAAAAACATTCTGCTCAAGACAATGTGATGATGAATACGCGAAATAGCCTCACTTACTAAATGCGATATACAAGTCATTTTACCATGCCTCTTGTAACCCAAATACTCAGCTCATTACTTGATCGACTGACATCAATAAACTATCAAAGCGCTATACTTAACCTACAAAAATAATCCAGCCTCTCAGAGGACAGTACTGAGTGAAGCAGCCTCTTCCCGAGGCTGCTTCACATCACAGTTAATCGAAGTCCACGGGCAAAGCCCAACATATACAGGAGTTCTGAAAGGAAACGATGTGAACTGCTTGAAAAATCCGTTAACAAGTCCTCGGATAGGGGACGCATGCATAACAACCAAACTGACAACAATGAATATATTCTCTATTTAAACAAATGTCAGTTAAGAACTCCATTTTCCGACCGCTAAACTTGACACATAATATGAGACTAGATAAAAGCATAATGAAATACCAAGAGAATAATATATTCACAGACGATAACCATGACAGGTTTAGAGAATTGTAGATAAATGGATTAGAGAAGGAAATTTGTCTCACGAACTTACTAAGAGTTTTTCGACAGGGGTAATATTTTTATTATATTAGAAAAACTAAACCCATGTGGGACAAACAGCTGCGAGAGTAACAGATATAAAGGAAAGCTTCACATCAGAGACTGATAAACTAGAAGGGTGGGCAGGAATAATGGAAAATTAATTATAATGGATCACAGAATACCTAAAGGGAGTGACAGGAGAGAGGACATATTAGGATGGACTGGAGAGAGGACATATAAGGATGGACAGGGATGACAAATGGGATCCCATAATCTTAGTTCTGAAACTAGTACTATCGCTCATACCCCCTCAAGGAAGGTTCCTTGATGTTGGTGAGGGGCTCTTGATTTAGGGAATTGGATCTGTGCTCCAGTTCCCCGAATTAAGCCTGAATGCCTTCCACATCCCCCCCCCCAGGCGCTGTATAATCCTCCGGGTTTAGCGCTTCCCCTTGATTATAATAATAATAATATCGCTCATACATGTAAATGATATGCCAGACGAGAATGAGATCTACGTATTGCTCTTCTTGGACAATGTAGTAATAAAATTAGGAAAATATAATCTGGAGAAGACAGTTAAAGCCTAAAAGGCGACTTGGGTAGACTACCGTTATGGCTTGATAACTAGTTACCGAAATTCAATCCCAGAAAATATAAAGTTATTAAAATCAAGAGAGGAGAAAGAATAATGAAAATGAAGTATATATTGAAGAGGATGGCAGAGTATAGTACCGACCATATTACCAGTGGTACACACAAACTAGATGACATCTGCTGTTCATGCGCACATAAGAAATGCATTCAAATTCCTACATACAACGCAAGTCTAATTTATTTTGGAGACTGCATCAACAGCCTGGCTCCAATACCTGAGTAGTCACGTTACAGAAACTAAATGTATTTTGGTCGCTACGCGATCCGAGGAAGGTATATGCGTACATACATACGTCTTCCTATACTTCGCTATATACTTTGGGAGACAATGTCAGGCACCAGTATCTCTCAGTCGCAGACATTTACAAAGGAAGCCATAGAATCCAAATAACTTTTCCATGTAGGCAGGGGCGGCGTCAGAATTTTTATCCTGGGAGAGTTTACCTGGAGAGAGTTTCGGGGGTCAACGCCCCCGCGGCCCGGTCTGTGACCAGGCCTCCTGGTGGATCAGCGCCTGATCAACCAGGCTGTTGCTGCTGGCTGCACGCAAACCAACGTACGAGCCACAGCCCGGCTGATCAGGAGTTAGGAGTTAGGAGACTTGTTTTAAAGCAGCGTTATTATTTTTATTTTTATTGAGGGCTCTGGGGGGTTGAGGAAATTTGGGGCATTGAAGACCTCCCTAACTTAGGATCAGTCCCTAAGGCTTCCCTTTGGTGCTGTGCCTACATAATAGTTAGTCTTTTTTACTCTAAACATGTTTATACAGGGAAAGTGTAGTAGGGGTTGTAAATGTATAAAATAGATGGTAGGTTGTTATCCGCTATAAAGAACTTTTATGCAGAGAGGTTCAGATTAGGCTATGAAGACCAGAAAAGGACTATTTTTCTAGTAAAAGTAGTGCTCATTATGTTTGTTTAATGTATTTATAGATAACGTTGCAAAAGAAGTGAAAAAAAATGCATATGGGCTGCGAAAAATAATATGAAGTTCAGTGAAGATAAATTTCAATTATTCCGATATTTTTTTTTTGTTTGTTTGTTTGTTCAGACCAGAGCTTTGGTGAGATGGAGAATGTACAGGAAACTTTCACGGCACACATAAGTACGATAAAACACCTAAATTACTGGGAATAGCTAAATTCCCTTGACTTGTATTCCCTGGAACGCAGGCAAGAGAGATACATAACATACACTTGGAAAATCCTAGAGAGATTAGTACTAAATCTGTACACGAAAATCACTCATCACGAAAGCAAAAGACTCGGCAGGAGATGCAACAGCCCCCCCCTCCCCCCCGAATGAAAAGCAGGGGCGCCACGAATACGCTAAGAGACAACACAATAAGCCCAAGATTGTTCAATTGCCTCCCAGTGTACATAAAGGGGATAACCAATAGACCTCTGGCTGTCTTTAAGAAAGCTATGGATAAGCACCTAGTCAGTACCTGACCAGCCGGGCTGTGGTTAGTATGTCGGTTTGCGTGCGGCCAGCAGTAACAGCCTGGTTGATCAGGCCCTGACCCACCGCGAGGGCTGGTCACAGACCGGGCCGCGGGGGTGTTGACCTCAGAAACCCTCTCCAGGTATAAGCAACAGATACGTTGAAACAAATACCAATGCAAAGCCTGTGCAACAGACGAATTGAACATGTCCTGTACAGGCGAGTTGTCTCAGTAACAGGTTTAGCCGCTTGATATGAGGAGAGTGAGCATAAAAGATAAAAGATAAAAGATAATTAATCTGATATGAAGTCGGAGTTGTCGCAGTTGTTCTTCGCTGATGACAGTGCATTCAGAAGATTCGGAAGAGAAGTTGCAAAAGGTTAGTAGTGGAAGAGTTTTGGAGGGTGTTAAAGAAAGATTGAAAGAAAAGAGTAAAAGAAAAGGTCATAGGAAGGAGAAAGTTAATTTCTTTAGATATTTGAAAGTGGCTGTGTCAGCAGGAGGGTATATTGAGAAAGGCGATTTGAGTAGACGAGAGGAAAATAAGTGGAATGTTTAGGCGTTTGTGAAAGAAAAAATATCATTGGCTGCAAGAAGAGGAATGTACAAGGACTACAGTTAGTTATGCCACTTTTGTATATATGCAAGGCAGCTATGAGGAAGTTGGGGTAGTAAGAACGACATATTTGAGATCAGTTTGTGGTGTGAATAATATGTAAAAAAAAAAGGAGTGTAGGAATTTGAAGATTCTGAGGCAGAATGAGTAATATTTAAAGAACAGAGTTAGGGAGGACTCTGGTTCACACTGTCAGATTGCTCCCACTGTATGCTTCACATGAGCAGTGCATCTGTGGCGTTTGTCGGCAACCCTCGCACTGCGTGCAAACCAAGCTGGTGGGGTTGGCAGGTGGGGCGAGGTTGATGGAGGAGTGGGCGGGTGGGGCGGGGCAGGTAAGATGGCGCGGCGGGCAGGCGGGGCGGGGAAGATGGCGGAATTGGGATAAAGAGGGGAAGGGGGCGAGGAGGGGCCGGAGAAGGGTCCGGCGAGCTGGTTGGAAACTGAGTATTTTTTTTTAACAATTGTATACATTAGCAATGTGCTGCTACAGTATTTTATATAATTACACAGAGGGAACAGAGGATAGCTATATTTTCCGTCATATTCCATCGCGCAGGATGGGGCTCATATAAAATGTTGAAATCAGTCAGCCTGAGGTGGGAGACTTCAGTGGGGCAATGAGGATATCCTCAAGCATTCCAGGGAGGGTTGAGTGTGGCGGGTGGAAGGAGGTTATGACGAAGGTGATGTCAAAGGGACGTTAGTTTATCTTTATTATACACCTCATACGCATGGTGTGGGCGGTAGAACAAAGATTACAGAGGTACAGTGGGTCCAGGGACTGGGCCTCTAAGTTTTGATAGCTAAACAAGTCACAGTGGTAATGAACTGTTTACATGTTTATATCTGGTTAAAATCGTAATGAGTTATTTAGGCAAATATAAACTAGGTCACAAAAAATATTACCTTACTTGGGGAAGTGCCTAGACTTCGCAGAAAGTGGGCAAAATACAAAAAAAAAAAAAAAAAAAATCTTGTTTTCTATACCAGGGTGAGGCCTCGATGCCATGGTACTCACCCGTGAACACCAGAATTACGGAGTTTTAGCCTAATGGAAAACTAATGCCATAATAAGTTTGGGCTGGCGGTATACGCCACCTGTATTAATCCAAACCCAGACACTCCCGTGGCTCCGTGGTACCAATCAGCTGTTTTATCTTGTCCATCACTGACATTCCGGCCCATAAAGAGATACTAAGAATGCCTAGACTGCAGATGAAATCAGTAAGATATTTAACATAGCCACAACATTGAGATACTCCAGGGATTTTGTCGAGAAGGTCCTAATGTCAGTTAGGAAGACTTTCTACAGGACTGAACCTAAGGAAATGCCTGCCAAGAAAAATGTACTAGTCATACCATACAATGAAAATTTGGTCTGCCTGCGTGAGGCACTAAAAAAGTTCAGTATAAACCTTACTTTCAACAACACCAGAACAGTGAAACAGAAGTTGATTAAAAACACACCTCCTAATAATGTGGGTCGTATTTACAAGGTACCATGCACTCTTTGCCCACTCTCACATATTAGTCAAACAGGTAAACCTCTGGAAACCAGATTATCCCAACACCAGCACTCATTGAGAATGGGCCAGGAGTCAAATGCTATCTTTAACCATGTAAGCTCCTGTAATCACCCACTAGGGTGGGCTGCCGCCCAGATAATTGTGATTATGTATGAGTGATGGTGAAATTGTTGAATGATGATATAAGAAAGAAAACTTATATCATCATTCAACACTTTCACCATCACTCATACATAATCACAATTTGTAAAGTAAAAGGGCACAAGTGCAACTAATGTGACATTTTATTGTGGCAACGTTTCGCTCTCCAGGAGCTTTATCAAGCCATTACAAACAATACATGGACACAGAGGGTATATAAAGGCTCTGAGTGAGGTGCAATACCAGTGAGGTACCATTTCGATGTTCACTAGTGGTAGTAGTAGTAGTAAGTACTACTAGTGAACATCGAAATGGTACCTCACTGGTATTGCACCTCACTCTGAGCCTTTATATACCCTCTGTGTCCATGTATTGTTTGTAATGGCTTGATGAAGCTCCTGGAGAGCGAAACGTTGCCACAATAAAATGTCACATTAGTTGCACTTGTGTCCTTTTACTTTACATATTGTCGGTAATTCTACCAACTTTATTACAATCTGTATAATCACAATTATTTGAGAGGTAGCCCAGATAATTGTGATTATGTATGAGTGATGGTGCCTGCATATTAAACATGTTGCTTTATTTCAGCTCGTTTCACAAAATGTGTGACGATACAGTTGCAGCTCTGGTTGTTGACAATGGCACCGGTTTTTGCAAGGCTGGTTTAGCTGGGGTGGATGATGACCCCCGCGCCATTTTTCCCTCCATCGTTGGCCGACCACGACACCAGGTGATTATAAGACTTCATGGTTATTGAAAAAAATATTAAATTACTTCAACATTAACTCAACAAGTTATTAAAATACAGTTATTAGTCTTGACAATACCTCCTCAGGTTTCGAAGGTCGCCACGGGTCAAAAGGATTCCTACGTTGGTGCCGAAGCACTAAGCAAGCATATTAACCTAACGCTCAAATATCCCATCGAGCGCGGCATTGTCACTAACTGGGACGACATAGAAATACTCCTCCACCACATATTCTACAACGAGCTGCGTGTGACACCAGATGAGCACCCAGTTCTGCTAACAGAGGCTCCATTCAACCCTAAGGCCAATCGTGAGAAGATGACCCAAATTATGTTCGAAACTTTTAATACCCCCGCCATGTATATATCAATGCAAGCTGTGCTCTCGATGTATGCTAGTGGTCGTACCACTGGTATTATTTTAGAATCTGGTGATGGCTTGTCATACACTGTTCCCATGTACCAAGGATACGCTCTTCCTCATGCTATCCTCAGTCTGGATTTCGCAGGCAGAGACCTAACTCACTATCTGATGGCCATCCTTGCTAAGAGAGGCTATACCTTCACAACCACTGCGGAGCGAGAAATTGTTCGTGACATCAAGGAAAAGTTTTGCTATGTCTCCCTCGATTTCGAGGAGGAAATGGCTACTTCAACTCAGTCTTCATCCCTTAAGCAGTCCTACGAACTTCCCGATGGTCAGGTTATCACCATTGGCGACGAGAGGTTCCGCTGCCCTGAGGCTCTCTTTCAGCCTTCCTTTCTTGATTTGGAAAATGCTGGTATCCACGAGACTACATACAATTCGATTATGAAATGCGATGTTGATATCCGTAAGGGCTTGTACGCCAATACTGTGATATCTGGTGGTACCACCATGTTTCCTGGCATTGTTGACAGAATACAGAAAGAAATGGTTGCCCTGGCACCATCCACTATGAAGATCAAGATCGTTGCGCGTCCAGAGCGTAAATACTCGGTATGGATGGGCGGTTCCGTCCTAGCTTCCAGCTCTAATTTCAACAAGATGTGGATTACAAAAGAAGAATACAATGAATCTGGTCCATCCATTGTTCACAGGAAGTGCTTGTAAGCACACTAATAATGAACAACGGAAGCGGTTTCAGTCCAATTATATTATTATAATTTTAAATTCAAGCGTAAGGAACTTAGTAAATAAAATTATATTCTGTAACTTATTTCATTCGGCGAAGAGTAGGAGAAGCTTTCACACAAAATGACACCTTAAAACTTATCAGAATTTAAGAGAAAATGCAACAGTAAATCACAACACTATTAAACAAATCGCAAAATGTCTAACTGAATGAAAGTTGGAGAACTAAAAAAAATCAGTGTACAGGATACTAAAAAAGATCAAGTTAAAAGAATAACTCTGTATTCAGTCAGCAATCTTTACTCTTCAAAACTAACAGAATATGCTTATTTTTTCCTTGATTAATTTGTTTATATACTGTTATTGATGCTAGTTCTCTCGTTAAGAGAATTAATTACACGCCGGACTTATAAATTTGCATATGAGGTTAAATATTTTTTTTTGTTTTTGTAGGTATATATAAGCTAACATAACCTAATTTAACCTAGCGTAATTTAACCTAACATAGCCTAACTTAACTGTCAGGTAAATATATACATGAACAGAGCAAGCGGAGGTAACCATGGATATTGAGGTATGTACGGACGTAAAAATATGTCGCTACGGACACAGTTTGTGGGTGGATTTAATAACACTAATGGCCAGAAGTAAATAAGAATAAGCGAGATGTGTTCAGACAACTCCTGTATTTTAACGATTTTTTGTTAGAACCATATAAATACCTGGAACTGTTAACTGATGATCCATGTACAATGAGGGAAAGTTATTGGTTGTAGATACTTGTAAGAATATATGGTATCTCTTGTTGCTTATACGACACACTTTAGGTGTTAGATGATGGGAGGTGGCCGGAGTTATAATGCCTGGAGTACACGTATGACTAAATTAGGACCGGATGTTATGTGGGACGGTTTATAAAGTATATTAATTAAATAATATTCGTAAGTGCCGACATCCAGGATACACAATAATATAATATCCCACTACCTGGGATATATAGCACTGCTACCTGGGATACAAACTATGGTATCCTAGTACCTGAGATGCACATATTTCTTCATATAATGAAGCGTATTAAGTGAAATTATCCTTTGGTAGGAAAACATTGCTCTCACACCTCACAGCAGGAAGAAAATGAGAAGTTAACTAAGAGAATAGACTTGTTGATGCTTGAAGTCCCTTAGAACACACCCAGACCAGGAGCTGTGAATCGACCCCTGCAACCACGACCGGAAGATAGAGCCAGGAGCCAGGTGCAGGGGTGAGGGCACATATACATATCAGTATACTGTACTCTCTCTCTAATCTATATATATATATATATATATATATATATATATATATATATATATATATATATATATATATATATTAATATATATATATATATATATATATATATATATATATATATATATATAATTTATTATAATGACTGATATTATTATTACTGGAAAGCATATTGCCCGTTAGGGCCACACTTAAGAATTTTAACTTGATTTCTGTGACAAGTAGATTCAGATATATAATTAATAATTATAGTGTAACGAACAATATTTTAGAGTTTTAAAATATATTTTATTAAAATATAAATTTCATTCATTAACCTGATTTGTATCTTTCACATGTACAATCAAAATATAACAAATACCGTGATATGCCGGACACATGGACTGAGACCCGTGTCAGGACTGTGTCACAGCTTCACAGCCAGCCAAGGACACTTTAATTTTTAAAGCAGGAATTAAAGTGAACTCAAAACGAATGTACAACAATGTATACATCTTGCCGTATATACAGCGAGAGGTATACATTGCTGTACATTCGTTGCGAGTTGACAGCTAAACAAATTACAGTAGTTAGCCCAGTATATTTCACACAGCTCAATAATTACTACACAACTTATGACTAACAAGTACTGAATGCAAGAGCTGCATATTATTAGCTCAGCAGGGCAGGTGTCCATGTTTACTGACGAGGGTGAGGTGGGAGGACACACACGGGTGCCAAGGGCTGGGGCACGTATATCGTGTGTTCCTAATGCCCCGAAGATCATGCTCGTCTTCCCGCATCAGATATATCAGGACTCACGAAATCGTAATGACACGATTGCAAACAAACCATTCCACGGACGGGATAGAACCCTCGGTCAGAGAGTCATAAAACTCCAGACCGACGCTTTGCATTAACTCAGTGAAACACTTCATAATACGTAATGAAAGCCGACAGTTTTAATCATCTGTAATGTTTCATTATATAAAATCATCCCTTCCCTTTCTAATGCATCACATCTTTCCCTTTCTGATGCATAAACTCCTTCCCTGTCTGATATACCATTCTTTCATCATGATAAATTAGTACAGCCCCTACATACACCCCCTCCATCCCTGCTGACACATTTCCCCTCCAAACTAGCATTAACTCAACCATTCCACTACCCCCTCTTCCCTTCCTCAGCATCCACCCCTCCCTCTCTCCCTGACCCACTGCCTCCCTTTCAACCTCATACCTTCGCAAAAAAAAAAAAAAAAAAAAAAAAAAAAAAAAAACATATAAACATCACTAAGAGGGATTGTGAATCCCATCTTTGCACACGAAAGGACAACTAATTACCACCAGATCCGCTTACGATTTTTCCTAAAATTATAAATGCTGGGTACCCATGACCACATTACGATCGTAACAAGATATAAATATATAAATAGTTCATTACCACTGTAACTTGCTTAGCTATCCAGACTTTGGGGGCTCAGTCCCAGACCCCATTATGTGTCTCTAATATTTTGACAACCGCTCACAGGGTGGGTATGGGGTGCATAATAAAAATATTAAATTAACTCTAAAAAAGGAGATACGTAGGTGATGTACTCGTTCCCATCATTTTCCACATCTTCACACCTGACACAGAGATGTCAGCCACAGCTGACGATACCAGAATTTGCATGACAGTGTCATCCATTGAGGACACTGCAAATCTCCAAGTAGACATTAACCAAGTCTTTAAATGGGCCTCGGAAAACAATATAAAGTTCAGGGAAGACAAATTTCAATTGCTGCGCTATAGAAAACTCGAGGAAATAAAAAGTGAATCGGAGTATAAAACAAATTCCAACCACACAATAGAGGGGAAAAGCTAATTTGAAGGACCTGGGAGTGATAATGTCAAGAGAATCTCACTTTCGAAGATCACAACAATGTCTTTACCACACTTGCTAGGAAAATGATAGGATGAATAATGAGAACCTTCAAAACTATGAATGCCAAACTGGGAATATTGCTGTACATTAGCGGCCCCTTTCAAGGCAGGCGAAATTACAGACTTGGAGAATATACAGAGAACTTCCACTGCACGTATAAGTACAATAAAGCACCAAAATTACTGGGAGCAGTTGAAGTCCTTTGACCTGCACTCCTTGGAACGCAGGCGAGAAAGATACATGCTAATACACATTGAAAAATCCTAAAGGGACTGTTCCCAAATCTGCACACGGAAATCACTTCCTAAAGATATAGATAAATATTTTTATTCTTTGCAATGTTTGCAGTGTGTGATTACAATTTTGATTTGTTAAGTACAAAGAAATCCGCTATCATGCGGAGCAACATGCAACACCCCCCAACGAAAAGCAGGGGCTCCATAAGTATGCTAAGGGACAACACGACAAATGTCAGGGGCCCAAGAGCGTTCAACTACCTCCCAGCATACATAAGGGGGATTACCAATAAACCCCTGGCTGTCTTCAAGAGGGAGTTGGACTGGCACCTAAAGTCAGTGGTACAAGAATGGTATACAATACCGACAAGATGAAATTAAGACACATGTGCAACATCTGGGTATCTTTATTGTAGACGTTTCGCCATCCAGTTTCTTAATTTCACCTAAAATCAGTACCTGACCAGTTGGGTTGTGGTTCGTACGTCGGTTTGCGTACACCCAGCAGTAACAGCCTGGTTGATCAGGACCTGATCCATCGCAAGGCCTGGTCATGGACCGAGCCGTGGGAGCGTTGAAATTTTAAAGGTGGGTTGTTTAAATGTGTGCGGATATAGCAGAGAAGAAAGAATTGTTAATGGTATGAGAGAAAGGAAGCTGATTCTCACAGCACTAAGCGAAACAACGGTTAAAGGGGGTGAGAGAATTCCAGTGAGGTTAAACCAGGTGTATCTGAGAAAAATATTTTTGAAGAATGATATTAAGTGATCAAGTATGAAAATGAAGATATATTTAACTTCAAAAATTGTGTCGTATGTGATAAATTGATTACAGTAATTGTTTGTGCAACTAAGCAAGAGAAAAGTATAGGAGAAAGTGATTTTGGGTGATGTTAAATGAAGGTTGATGGAGTTTTGAATCAAGAGAATAATTATTATGGGTGACCTAAATGCTAATGTGGAAGAGAGTGTTGTGGAAGGAACCGTAGGTAAGTTTGGAATACCTAGGGTAAATTCCAAGGAAAGGCTGAGAAAGATCATCTAGATTTAATTATAGCAGATTCTGTAAGAGGTAATAGCTTGTTAGTCTGAGGTAATAGCTTGTTAGTCTGAGGTAATAGCTTGTTAAACTATGTATTGTGGATACATCGTTGATGGGTAAACTTGATAATAATAATAATAATAATAATAATAATAATAATAATAATAATAATAATAATAATAATAATAATAATAATAATAATAATCCCAAACACAACAGTGATGGTCAGATGACCAGAAATGTAAGCAATGTTTGACAGTTGCGATGTTGTTGAGAGAGCTGCAAAACGGTCCGTGTGGATGAGCATGTTTTTAGAGAAGCGACATATGTGTCAGATCATTACTGTGTTGTAGCAAAAGGAAAAGTAAAAGGAAGGAGTACAAGGAGAATGACCTCAGTGGGTGGAAGAGAATGAACTAAGAAAAGAGACAGTGGAATGAATACACAACTATCAGTAACAAAAGTGGAGTATAGGGAGTGCAGGTTACGAGGAGGAGGATAAAGATGTATGGGGTAGATTTGAAGATGTATTGCTAGAGTGCGCAGAAGTGTTTGGAATGATTAGTAGAATATTAAGATAGTTGTTGAGATTTTTAACCAGGGGAAG